AGCAGGTCTCCCTAGCAGTTATATGGAAATCGGAGACAGTGATTTCAATAGGCAGTTGTATTTTGATATCTGAAGATGTAAAGGCTATACATGCATTTAGGACTGTGGTGTGAAGTGTCGGTAATCTTAATGGATGTGGGGTATATCTGGCATGTTCGTACTATGCAATGCTTCCACACTGTGGTCCCTTCCTACAGAGTAAATTCTTGCCATGCACAGCCATCATGAAGATATAGATAGGTTCAGAGGGATATAGATCTCCACATACATAAAACAAATATGAGACAATACAGCTGAGCTGCTGTGGTGTGCTGACTGCTGCAGCTTGAGAGTTGTCAGAACAGTTGAGGCCTGTTTTCCCTCGTGTCTTGTGTGTCTGGCAGGTAGTTCCACAGAGCTTGGGGATTCCACCATGAATGAAGAAGCAGCCACCATTAACAAAATCGTAACAAAATTTCCCCGTGAAAAGTCAGTACCACCCAATCCCCCAGAAGCATAATTCCCACAGGCACAGTGTGATGGATGTAAGTAAAAGTCTACTAACTGCATGAGCACTGTATTTTCATGGCTGGGGTACGCTTTATTATAAAATTCCTTTTGGTAAGGAACAAGTCTTTTTTCATCTCAAAAATTCATTGTTCAATTAAGTCTCCCAGTAGAGCTGTGTAAATTCCTTGAGCATTAGCACCCATGCACAAGAGAACACACCTTTTAAAGTGCTAACTTCATGAGGAAACACAGCCAGGATACATGGTCCTGGGGGCTTGGTGTTTTGTTTTGTCTTTCTCTGAAGACCCTAAGTATGGATCAGTTGAGTTACAGAGCTGCTGATGCCTTGCCACAGCAGCATTCGATTGGATCATGGCATATTTGTTACTGCAAGGCGTTGTTGACTGACCATTACTACAGTGCCACTTAGTGTTTCAGTTAATTCTAGTACTCTGTTTTTCTGATAGCATATATAGGTATTGTTTTATTCTTCTGCCTTTTAGGTACCCACATATGAAGTCAGAAAAGAGAGGGAGGCACAGGGGTTTTAAAATGGGCATTGTCTGAGTTATGGAAGCCAGCTGTTACCTTGTGAGTAGACAAAGGTGTTTCCCTGTGTAGATTATTCCATAGCAAAGTGTTGTGCTGTTTATTTTTGTCAGCTTGTACTGGTGGTTACATTGAAGGGCTTGATCCAGAAAGTTCCCTTCCTTGAACAGTAAAGATGAGGTTAAGTTATGGTGCTGTTTTGAAATTTCAAGTTGCTTTAACAAGCCATATGGCTGCTACAGATGTCAGAGACCTTTTAATTCTTCTGCCAAAAGGTTTTTTCTAGCAAGCATAGTCCTGCGTCAAAGCAGAATTACTCGTAGAACTTGAATCCCAATCTCTGTGATGCAGAAATTCAGGAGGATATCACATGGATGTTAGATTCCACTGTCAGTCAAATCACTAGTGGAGGAGAGGCTTAATTCATTCTTCCTGGATGTAGTCGTCCTTGTCAGCTGTCTCAAGACCTTCACACCGACCTTGACACAAAACTTTACTGATGTCTCACTCATTTATCACCTAATCTGTGCACTGAAAGAATCTAGGGCCTATTAGGGCAAATAATATAGGAATATAAGATTGCAAGATGAAGTATGAATGGTAATTGAAGTACTGTTTAAAGCTGACATAGTTAAATCAATACAGAACCCTAGGTGGGCATCATTATGTTTAAAATCTAATTTTTTGTGATTTGGAGTAGCAAATTTTTGAGTGGACTATAATCCATGGCACTGTCTTTGTATACCCAAGACATGAATCTTAATGTGTACAGTTATACGTATGAATTCAGACAGTTCTCCATTATTTTAATTCTTGCCCCCATTGTATTTTACTGTATTAACAAAAATGCCTGTTGATAAAAGTATCAGTTCAGTAGAGCTGGAATTCTGGGCTCCTAGGTCCATAGACCAGACCTCTACCTTATGCAGGGAATAGTTGAAAGTGGTAATAGTCTATTGTCCTTCATCTAGGGCAGTCATAAGATGGAGAATGTGACTCCTACAAATTGCACAGCTGTTGCTAGACAACACTGGAATACCAGGAATTGGGCTTCTGGCTGTGGAGAGGCATAGATCCCCATGGTTACAGACAGAGAGTGGTCCCCTAACTTTGACGTCTTTGTTCCGGAAGACATGTGGTTAAGGGGTCTTCACATCATCATTCTGCAGTCAGGGTTCTGTTTCCAACCTAGACAGAAGTGACCTTGTAAAATCTGAGGCTTTTACAGATATGAAACAAACAAAATTCTGTTTACCTGCTGCATAAGGCAGGTGAGTGAGCTTTTGATCAGTTAAAAAAAAAAAAGGTCTTCTGAAATAAGAAATATTATGACTTACAAAAAAATAATTGAAAGCTGTGCTTGAAATTTGCATTCCCTTGCTCCTTGTTCTGGTTGTCTTTCCAAAGACGTTTTAGTTCTGCTCTCTGTGGATATTATCTTGCGCCTTGGGGAGGAGTATCCGAGAAGAGAAGACATTAGGATTTGGAAAAACAGTAAACAGGTCCATTAACCATTCTTAGGGACAGAGGTGCTTTATTTAATTCAGATAAAGGAAAAGTAGAATTTAAAACATGCCTAGTGAAAACAGAAGGTTAGAGAATTTAGGAGGAAGCCATAATAAACTATATGTGAATAGATTTTTTTTTAAGGTTTGTATCTCAGCCACAAGTGCATGTCTTTTTGCACAGATGGCAAAAGTAATTTCTGACATCAAGATTCTATCCCTGCTAAATTTTAAATTCCTGTTGCAAATCACAGAGTGTAAACATCCCACAAAAACAGAGGAAAAAAATGGCAATCATTAGCAAGGGGTTTCCCGTCAATTCTTGTCCAAATCCAGTGATGCATGAAGCAGTTCGGAAGCTTGAAAATTCTTTGCTTTACCTGTTGAGTTTTAGCACATTATAGAAAATGAAAACAAAGGTCAGTGTTGAAAGTATTTAGGCAGCCTTAACTGTGGCTGTTTAATGTGGCCACTGTGTTGTCCTCCTGGAGAACTTGGGAGTCCAACTCTCTGTGGCGTGGTATCAGAAGTCAGTTGTTAAGCATATGTCCAGTGTCCCTGGACACCAAGGACTGTGTCTGGGCTCTCAGGGTTTCTTAGCAGGATTTGTCATGGACTGCAGATTACCAGCTGGAGCCTGAAGGAGAAACAGGTAGAGGTCCCATGATCTCTTGAGCTATGCTCCAGAAACTGCTTTTCTTTGAAAAGTGGTGTTTGCAAGCAGATGCCTTCTAGCATTAAAGACATACAGATGAAAGTGGAGGAAGTTTTACCACTGGGAGAGATACAGGCTGGGATTATTGACACTTCTGATTTTACCTCTTTAGCTCCATATTTTTCCAAGTTTTATTGACCTGTATTTATAAGATATTTTGATAGTGTTCATGCAAATTACCATGCTGAGTTCTTCCTGGCAAATAGCCAGCTAATTTCAGCATATACCTATGGTATGACGTATACAGGTGTATGTCTACCTAGATGCATATTCTCTATACTCCCAGAGAAATACCTGTGTAAGGACAATGAAAATAGTTTCAAGTAACCACTCATACCCAGTATACCCTGCTGAAACCACTGTTGGTCATAAACTGACTAGAGATATTTTGAAAATGAGAAAACAGTAACTGGAGCTCCTGGGGAAGCACCTTGCTTCCTTGTGTACTGGTAGTACTCCTTCTTGTGTCTCTGGGTCTCCCCTGTCATTATTAGTGATGACCCTTTTGTTGCTGGGCAGCTGTGGGAAAGTAGAACCTTGTAGAGGAAGCCATCAGCATTTCCCAAAGACCTTGTTCTCTTATGTAGGGAAGGATGTCCTAACGTCTGTTTCAATGAGAGGACTGAGAACAATGACAGAGTGGGAAGAAACATCTCCTGTTCCTCTCCACTCTCACATTTTTGTGTATTAGAAATCAGAATGGGATATTTTTATGAATCCTTACTGTACCAATGTCCAGACCCTCAATTGATACACAGATCCTATGCTTTGTTTGCCTAATTAGAGCTGTGGCTAGTTTATGGATTTTTATCTGACTTAGGGTTACTATCGTGAGACATTTGGAGAAATGTATAAGGAATATTTTGTAGAAACCTGACCTCAACAAACAACAGAAGGGCCACCGATGCGGCCTTTCCCTGGGGCATGAGGTGGCTGGCTTAGGCTTAAGGCTACTGGGTTGTACATAGGGCAGCCTTGGGGATTTCCTCATTCAGAAAGATGTAAATCAGTAGTACTTACATCAGATGGGTCTGATCTTTCCCTCCTTTCAGCTTGTAAATTAATTTATATCTACACAGACTGTGTTTAAAATACTGCTAGTGAGGGTCTAGCCACTCCAGTGCATATTTTCACTGAATGGAGTAGTACTGCAACATTATTAAACAGCTCTTGAGTATGAATTCATCCAAGAAGTAGGTTATTAGAATAAAGTCTATTTTATTAGTGCCTTAGGACACTCATCCAGAACCCAGAGCCCTTGAGCGCTATTCAGACACATAACATGAAATAGTCTCTACCTCAGAAATTTATAATCAAATTAGACAAAGCTGACAAGTAAGGGGGAAAAGAGAAATTGAGGCAGGGAGGGACAAAATGGGTTCTCTGCCACCGTGTAGCCAGGAAGTGTGAAGCTGGGAAATAGCACAGATGGTTTCTTTTAAAAAGTAGAAACGAAAAGGTGCAGCAATGTAAATGAGAATTTATTAACAACAAAGCCCAGAATCTGCACCTCCAGAAAGAAACGGAAAATAATTTATCCGCCCACACTCACTTTTTTTCTGACGAAGGCAGGTGAATACAGCTGCACTAATAGTGTGACGCTCACAATCCTGAGCCGCACTTACTGATGCAGAACTGAGAGGTAACCATCGTCTCTAGGAAAACAATAGCCCTTGCAGCCTCCGCGGGGGCTGCAGGGTTGCATACTATTCATTCCCTGCACGTGTTATTTTCACGTGAAGGTCCTTCCAATCCAGCTGTTATGGAGTCAATGGATGAAGCCGAAGCACAAGGACAGCTGAACAGGAAGGAGCAGTTCCTGAAAACCTCCCAGAAAACGGCACTGCTCGGTTGGGCTGCTCGGTGGAATGGATTAATGCCTGGAGGCAACATGTATCTGTTTGTCCTCTCGCAGATACTGGTAAGGCAGCCTGTGCTTGCTTTGAAATGCTGGAACCCTTCTTTTAAGCGTTGTCGACTTGTGAGGTTTCCTCATTCATTGTAGATGTAGCAGTGGACATAGCTGCAGTGCTCTCATTTCTGCAGCCACCTCTCCCACCCTTGCTTTGCAAACAGCCCCAGCCTCTGATGTCCTCTACCCCTCTGCAAATGCCTCCTTTGCCAAATGACCTATCTCCCAACAAATCAGTTTTCTGTATCTGATATGTATGGGAGTAAGTAACTGTCTTGTTGAAAAGTGGATTGGGAGGTATATCCTTTAAAGTTGCAGTGTGCCCTTGATGGTTGGGGATGAGAGTATACCTCTCTGTGAGGGTGTTAAGTTATAGCATTGTTGCTTTTGTAGTTTTATGCTAACTGTGATATGTGGTTTAAATGAAATGTTTCAACATGTCTATGTTTATAACCGTTTATAGGGAAGCCTGTGTGAACATGTCTATTTGTGAGAGCTTTGCACAGCATGAGATAGGCCTTAATAGTATTTTAGTAACATACAAAGTTCATTGACTTAGTTTTGATCTAAAAGAAATAACACTGAACGTTCAGAAGTCAGAGGAATCGGTTGCTCTTTCAGCATACAGGCTACCGTGGGCAGTCCTTTTGCTCGTGTAGACCAGAGTAAGCTTGTTTAATTCTGTGATACGTGTCTAGTTAATGGTAGCCGAGCATTTAGCCTTCAGTCTTTTTATTCTTGTTAAGCTACAGCCTAGAAAATACCTGACTTCTTCAAGCAAAAATGATGATCAACATGAAATCAATGAGAACTAAATTAGTTAATTATGCAGTCTTGAAATGAAAATGAATGTTTGTATAATGAGAGATGCTCATTATGTATTTTCTGATTGATTGCACAGCTTCTCTGCATGATGCTGTGGTACAGCACTTACGGGACCATCCCAGCAGCTCAGAATGCCTTTGACCTGCTGTCTTACTTGCTTACCCCATTTAAACAGTTTTTGTCAGATCAAGGGGAGGTAAGTCTCTCTACTCCTCTCTGATTATATAGTTGATGTCAGTTGCCTTGGGTGGTGCTTCTATTACCTCTTCTGATTAAAAGTATAATATATATGCACTTCATATAATATAGTGACTGCTGCATTGTATGTGTCCCAAATCAGTGAAAAGAGTTTTCAGAAAACAGATTCATATTTTATCTTCAAGGTACAGGACTGAATTTTTGGCTATGATGCTAGATCAGTACAGCAGATTTTTCATAATGTGCAAATGAAACAAAGCAATAAGGAATCAGCCCACTAAGGTTTTGCCCGCAATAAAGGGAGAGCTGGAACTTAATTTATTAGGCTGGATAGAAGCTTAAATTCTGGAAGAATGGATCAACCCACATAAAGGATGAAAATCATGAGGTACTCAGTCACAAAAGTCTATTTTTGTTGAGTGTTTAGAGCATATCTATGTACAGTAAAAGTATTTCAGGTTTACTAGGTGTACAGATTCAATTATATCTACAAAGCTACCCCAGTAAAATTGCTTAGCTTCTTACCATGATGTAATGATACATATACCAGTATGATTCATCTGATAAATTACAGGGGTAATTATACCCAGTGCAGATTTCTCTCGTGTGGACAGAACCTTAATCAAATGTTAAGCAGTTACTTTCAGATATCGGATGAAATGTATTTGCTATCAAAATGCTTAGATTAATTGTACGTAAAATTTGTAGCATAGACTATGGAGAACAAATAGGAAATCTGACTCAGTGCTTCTTGTAGCTGAAGTACAGTGGAGACTGTTTTCTGTGTTTTCTTAGCAATGTTTGAGCTGCATGTCACCTGCTCTTTTGTTATTTGAAAGAAGCACCTTTTCTTTGCCTTTTCTCAGTTGGATTTATTATGCACAGTCTTCATACAGTATTGCATACTCTTCATACAGTATTGCCTGTATCTTATTTGCAGAGGGTCGATCATTAACAAATCATTTCTTACAGAAAACCCCCAATTTGTAGGGTTTTGACTTAAAATAAGTGTTCATTGTGGAGGAAACAGATTCCTAGAATGCACCACAAGAACACCCCAAGTATGACTGTGCAGATGTTCATGCATATCTTTGAGGACGTTGTTATAGCACTATTTAGCATGCAAAGCTGGATTTGAAAACAGTAATGGCAAAGAGATCTTCTGATGTTAAAATAAGCAAATGAATGCTCTTACCTCTGAATTTTTCTTGAGCTGTACTAGTGGGTCAGAAACAAAGGAAAATTGTTTGCCCACTGAAGCCCATTAGAATTCAATTTTGTACCTACTACTGAGAATAGGCTGAACGCTAAACTACTTAAATATGATGAAAACATTGAAGTGAATTTCATTGCCAATGAATGAACCTGTTGGCATCTCACAAAATATGTAGAAAATGTAGAAAACTCCTCTGTGGCTGGGGTTTATGTAAGGACCCACAAACACGGGAGCAGTACAAAAACTTTCTTCAGAGCCCTTTGCGACAGTATAAAATTACACTGACTGTGGCAATGAAACATTGGTACAGGCTGCAAAATTGAATTGTGGATCCAGATCTCAATTCTGGCAATGCATGAGGGTAGAGAGCAGATTTCATGTTTGCCTTCACTGTGAAATTGGTTTTTAGACTTTCAGAGATGCTGGGGCTTAAAGATGTTTTCAATTTCGGTCTTCCCTAAAGCCTGGCATTTTTTTCTGTTGTTGGTTGTGGCTTTTCCACAGACAAGAGTATGGTATGACTAAATCTGCATGGGGAATCCAAGAATGAATACACAGTTTGCCAAGAACATGCATGCAGATGCTATACTGTGGTCCTAAATGCTTTCTGAATCATTGTCAATTCTGTTGTTTCACAGGACCTGACTAGAATTGGGAGCATTGTGGTATCGTACATCCTACTGTCTTTAGCTTCTCTAGGACTGTTATTTCTAGGATCTCTGGTAAGTTATGATCCTGTGCAAACTATATTCATGCCCTTTTTCAGTGCATTTTTATAAGATGGAATATTTATGGAATTTTATAGAGGAATCACAACTACACTTATCCTTACTCAGTTTCTTGATGAATTGGGGATTACACTGATGGTTTTTATTCTTTCCATCCACAAATGGGCAAACTATTTTTACTTAAATAGAAGAGATATGGTCCAGTAATGGGACCATCTAATATTGCTGCCTTATGAATTACCTGCAGAACATCCATTGACTAAGTGGCAGAAAGAGCTGTTCCAGAGCACCAGCGTACTTGTGAATGTAATGCCCCTGTAGGTGTAAGCCAAGGCCCCAGCTGCAGATCAAGATTAGAGACGTGACTACAATTAATCTAGTTAGCTGTTTGGGAGCAGGAGTGTATTGTGTTTCTCTGTTGACATGTAACTGGCACAGAGTTGTGTGGTAGATGGGAAAGCTGTGGAGAATTCTTTCTTTTTAGGGACCACTATTTGAACATGGCTTTTCATACCCCTGTATACTGTTCTGTTAGAGTGGGAATGCAGTTACTGAACATGCAGGTGGAATGTCACCTCCTGTCCTTACGGCAGTGCACCTTCAGGTAGCTCAGGAAGCTGGAGCTGTACTTTGTCCATGCCATTTGAGTGATGCGCAGAATAATGAAGACTATCATGAAATCATGGGACTGTTGGTGAGAAGGGACCTCTAGAGATTGTTAGTCTAACATCCTGCTTGAAGCAGGACTGTTGCCAACCCTCAGTAAGGTCAGCCTTGCATTTTTCTACAGAGGTTTTGAAAACCTCCAGGGAAGGAGGTGTATCGTCTCTTTGGGTACCTGTGCCATGACTGCATGGCGCCCTTGGGGAAGAATTTTTTCCTAATGTCTGATCTGAAATTCCCAAAGCTGAATGTCCGAGCTGAATTTCTGCAGCTTGTGGCCATTGACCCTTGTGGTACCAGCTGCTACTACTAAGAAGAGTCCAGCTGCGTCATCTGTGGAGCTGCCCTTCAACTAGTTGCAGGATGCTGTTGATCACCTCAGCCTCCTCTTTGCCAGGATGAACATGCCCAATTCCCTTCACCTTTTTCAAAGATCATATGCTCCAGACCCCTGACCTCCTTTGTAGCCCTCCAATGGGCCCACTCCAGTTTGTCCATATCTGTCTTATTCTGGAGAGCCTAAAATCGGACACAGTATTCAAGATGCAGCTGCATCAGTGCCAAGAAGGGGGTACCTCCTTTGAGTTGCTGGCCACATGCCCTGGTAGGAAGTTTGTCATATTACATACCATGGTTAACTTCACTCAGAGGCAGCACAGTGGCAAAATCTTCTGTTTAATGTGTCAGGTGAATCTACTTTTTAAAACCATTTGCAAGGCAAAGTAATTCGTGTTAATGCTTCCATTATTGTGATCACTGATGTAGTCGAGGAAGTTAGCTGGGTTTATCCAGTTTTCTGCTTTTTTGCTGCTGCTGTCCCTTATGCAGATGAATTTTGTCCTCAAATAATAAACTTCTGATGACTTTGTAATTGCAAATATTAAAGAACAAAAATGAATTGTGATGAACTGTGTGAATTCCAGGTAATTTTGCAACAAAACATTGTGAGCTGGAAATTGGAATAGCAGGGGTGTGATTTTTCTGCATATCCAACCTATTTCTTGGTGGATGGAAACATTTTATTGCTGATCCATTCTTAGCACAGAAAGTAACTTTAAATGAAAGCTCTCTATGCCCCAAAATTCTGGATGAGAATAGCAGGGAAATCAGAATAGCAGGGGGTGATTAGCTGGAAATCAGAATAGCAGGGGTGTGATTTTTCTGCATACCCAACCTATTTCTTTGTGGATGGAAACATTTTATTGCTGACCCATTCTTAGCACAGAAAGTAACTTAAAATGAAAGCTCTCTGTGCCCAAAAGTTCTGATCTCAGTTTGAACTGCTTTGCATATGTCGTAACTCCTTGCAAGTGAATGCTTATACCACTGTAAATGAGAGCTGACTTGGCCCATTTTTAAGTATTGGTTAAAACTTTTGGACAGAAAGCAGTTTTATAACAGTTTCCATGTAGTCAAGCTTGCTCTGTTTTGTATTGTGTGGTCTGTGCTAACAGTGTAGCTAGACTGGAGGTACAAACGTCACTGTGACAGCCTGTCCTCTGGACAAGTTGCAGAGCATCAGAATATAAGAAATGTCCTATGAGTTGAGACCAACAGTCCATCTTGCGCAATATGTTCTCTCTAACAGTGGCATTAGGAAGGAGAGGCTGTTCAGAGAGAGCGTATGAGCCTTGTCCCTTCCTACCTACCTGTTACCTTACTCTGACATCTCAGGACATGCTGCCTTGCAGTTTGAAAACATCTGCTTCTACTAGTATCTAGAGAATAAGGTATAAAATAGTCATTAGCAGAACATTGAAAAGAATGTAGTGACGGAGCTAAGCAGGGTTTCCAGAATTCCAGCCTGGTGGACAACAGATAGTTGCACAAGGACAGTTTTCTTTATTTTCCCTCTGTCTTAGCTGAGTGATCTCTCATTCTATCGCTCTCACTGGGTTTTACGCATCGTGCTGCCTAGAAGAGACTTGAAGGGGTCTTTTATGTCGAAGAGTACCTTTATGATGAAATCTTTCTCTCCCGAAATGTACCATTCTCTCTTTATAGATGGACCTGATACCTCAGTCCTACACTGAGGTATATACTAGATGGCATACCAGTGAAAAGCAGCTTTGCATTTTCTTATTCAGCAACTGTGGTAACTTACAGTAATGCTTTGGTAGTTCCCTGGGGAAGAGAGAAAACGTGCCTGTTCATACAGGTACTTTGTTGCTTTAATGTAGAGCAATAATATGCAACAAGGCTGAGAACGGTGGTCAAGCAGATTCTCAGAATTGATACCAAGAGAACGGGGGCCCTGTCTGGTCTGTGCACGTGTTAAAGGCAGCTCATTCCTGTATTGGGAAATTTGTGACTCTAATACACTAGGAATGATTTTTTCAGACCTCAGCTAACATTTGAAGCACTTTTCTGAGAATACCCTGGTACCAGGATGCACTGGGAGGTTAGCAAACACAGTGAATATAAAGGGCTGGATAGAGTGCTTGAGGCTTGTATTAGTGATGCTGTCTGTGTTCTGTCTTATACAATGGTGTGTTAAGACCCAGGCTGCTGCAGAGAACTAGCGTTGAGCTCTCTAGTCCTCCTGAACAGGTTTTCAGAGCTGTTATTCCATTATTTAGTTTAACCCCCTCACCTTTATAACTTAATTTCTTTATAACTTAAATAACTTAATTTCTTTATGTCTTGGCCAGCAACTTATTTACCACACGCTTCTTTCAACGTAAAGAAAAACTACTTAGTTTCTAGGGTGAACTTTTTATTCCTTTGGTTTTGCAGTGTGTTAAATCACCAGTAAAATCAGTCTGCTATCACCATACCAGCATAATTGGTACCTAGACCTGACACTTGGCCCTCAGCACAAATGTTGATTTTTAGTAACAGCGGCACTCTCCAGCGGTACAAAGCTGTTGAGCAGATACTTTACACTGTGAACTGCTCGGCTGTTACAGTTTTGCAGTGTGTGAAAGAACCATGGCTTGTACTGTGGGACCACCAAGCTCTAGAAGTCATCTTGGGGAATGAAAATAGAATCAGATCTTCAAGCTTCTTGCTTGTCGTCCAACAGGCCAAGCATCTGGGACAGGTTCGGTTCAGACTTGGCCCCAAATTTGTGTAAAAGTGTAGTAATCATGCTCTTTTGTTTGCTTTTGTACTTTCTGTGTATTCTCATGAACTGAAACAAAAAAAAAACATCTTGTTTGAAGTTTGTGAGAGACTAACATTTGCTAAAGCTGGCTGTGGACAGAAATTAAAACTTGATTCACCTCCTTTCATTCTTTAGGCTCAGAGAAATGCGATCACATGAAGACACAGGCACAAGAAGATTGTTGTTTAAAATCCTAAAGCGAATGTGCTTTAGTAGCCCAGAAAGAGAAATTTGACCTATTTAAATGGCATATTTTCTAACTCCTACATCCCATTTAAAAGCCATATAATAAAAGGACGGAAGGGGCTTTATTTTGGAAAGTGTGACCTGTTCTTAGTCTCAAAAGGATGTATGACAGTAAAATATGGTTTGTATAACATTCAGCCTCAGTGATACTGGTCCTAGTTCAGTGATAGAAGGATGAAGCTGGCAAGGTTGGTTGAAGTTGGTAGGGTTCCAGATCCTGGAATTCAGAGGTGGGCTTACAGTTTTTAATTGAGGATTAACTGGAAGACTAAACAGTCTACTGATACAATCTCCAAATCTTGTAGTCTGCCACAGCATCCATGCAAACCAATATGATACAGTAATTTTTTAAATTCATGCCATTTCATTAATTTATATTATAAACTTGAATATTATATTTATGTCCTATAACTTCACAAGATTTATTAATTAATGTCTATACCATGTTTAAATCAGATAATTAGATTACAAACCAGTCTTTGCTGCTGGCCAAAAACTGATATGGTCATTCTGGGCCTTAAAATCAGGTACTTCAAAACCAAGGCCTCTTTAAAAAATGATTTATACATGAATTGGAGGTACAGTGCCAGATTATCAAAGATACGCAGTTCAGGAAAATCGTATTTACTTTTCTTACCAGTTATATCTAAATTTTAGATGGAAAACCATTAAGTCAGGAGAGGTATGATTTGTAGAATAGTATAGTAGATTTTTATTTTGTAAGCAAGCCTAGGAAGGGTAAGAAACTGAACAAAAGGACAGTGATATCACATTGGCTTGCATATGATGATCACAAGCACATTCCGCTTCCACTGTATCCCTGAGTTAAGCCTGGCCAACTCTGTGGAAACCTCTGTGGCTGAAAGCAGGTTTGAATGGGTGGATGTGAATCCTTGTAACATGCACCACAAAGCTACTCCTGCGTGGAACATTCCTGTCCTCTCAGTACTCTCCAATTCTAGTACATTATAGTGAGCCAGGACACTGCCCAAAAGACCCATCCTCTAGGCTGTATGGAAGGGCTGGCAACAAGCAGAAAGCTTTTTTAAATGTTTGTTTCCTCCAGTTTTGGCATCTACTCAGAGCCCGTCCAGACCCCCCCTTTCCGCTACAAGAGGACAGACGCCAATCTGTGAGCCGTCAGCCTTCATTCACGTACTCAGAGTGGACAGAGGATAAAAATGAGGATGACTTCCTAGATTTGGATCCTGTACCGGAGACTCCGGTCTTTGACTGCGTAATGGACATTAAAGCGGAGACAGATCCAGCTACTCTAACGGTTAAATCCGTGGGCTTGCAAGAAAGGTAGGGTAGATGTGACTAACAGGGCAAAATCTGGTCCCAGATTTTGTGGATTTAGGAGTTCTGCGCCTAGTAGGAAGCTTTATTGCCTTTATGAATGTCACTTTAAAATGTGTTTTTAAAGCCAAGCACCTGCTTTACTTCCTGTTGTCTTTTCAGTCCAGTCATAAATATAAACATATTAGCCAAGTCCATACAGTTTCTAGACAGCTGTCAACAAGTGTTACTCAAAAACATAATTTCGTTCCTTTGAAATATCCATTTGTGTTTGATCAGTCTCTTGCCATTCCCCGAGATGGCAACTGCACAGCATGGAATCCACTATAGGCGATGAAAGCTTTTACCTCTGAAAGAGGTGGATCTTGTTATTTTTTTTCTGTTGCTTATGCTGGAGGATTAGTCCTTTCTCCAAAAGCAAACCATAGGACAAGTGGTAACCTGCAATAACTCTCATATAAATGGGTTAGTCCAAAAGTAAATGAATTCCTTTGAAATTAACCCAGTAATGAAACTTTGGGGTGAGCTGGTGTTCACTGCATGAGCTATCAGGGCAATTGAGGTTCTCTGAGAGAGTCACAGCTGGGAAAATGCAGTTTTAAGATAAAAGGAAGATCTTTTACTGTTTTGTGTTCTTTCAGTTGTCTTGGTTAAATAGAATAAAGATCTTGATGATAGAAATCCTGTGGACAAATTCTGCAAAGGTGACCATGTTATGAATGCGAATGAGGTTACTGAAGGGTTCAACATAGCAAAGTATCACCTTACTTTATATCTAGGTTTTCAAGCTTAATTGGAGTGCTAACCATAGTTAATTCTCATATCTAAAACTTGGAAGGGGGGGCAGAATTTAGATCTTTAAAAAGTATGATGCTGAGTTTCTAAAGCTCCGTGTGACACTGCAAAAGGAGATGTTACAGAAGATGCTTTTAATTTGCACTCTGTGAGGTTAGAATGTTTATTCTTAGTTACAGCATTTGTCCTAAAATGTCCTACCATTTATTGTTATATTCTACTTTAAATATGAGCTTGCAGTAACCTCTGGAGCTTGTCCCTGAACCTGTTTCTGTCAGTGAGTTTTGCTGCTGTTTTTCATTATGGACAAGATTGGGCTTGAAATGCATCAGTTCTTTGTGCTTTTCACTATCCCTGATTTCAGTTCATCTTCCTCATTTTAAAGATGCTGACATTTCTTCTCAGGTGACCACTAGACTACAGGAAAGATATTCACTGTTTTAAGAGAATTAGGAAATACCAATTGGTTCAAGAAATGAATTACAATTTTAAAACTGTCAAAAAAGTAGAGATGGGGTAAAAGAGAGTAATTGCTTGAAGTTCTTACACTAGGTAAAACATGTACACTTAATATGTAAAATAAGCTTGTTTCCAACATACACTGTGCTTGAGAAGCCAGACATCATTTCAGGTTTGAGCTGTGCTCTGGCAGATGTCATTTACATCAAGCATTGGTCACTCTTCCTTTGTTTGGTGTTGTGTTGAATTATTGACCTGTCCCTCTCTTCATCTGTTCTGCTTCCCCATCTTACTTCCCTTTCATTCTTTAACCACCTATGCCATTAGAAGGGTAGTCACTAGCTAAATGCAAACAGCACTGAATCTCTTAAAAATCTCTTAAAATTATCTTAAAAAGAAACAATCTCATTTTCTCATGCTGAAGAACTATTAATATCTTAATGTATGTAACCTCTTCTACCTTAAAAGAATCAAAAGCATTCGTTATCAATTGCAACTGTTTCTGGGAGGGATGTGGTAGCTATTTAACAGCACACAGGAGCATAGGATCAAAATCTTTTACAAGGTGGCACTAAAGATACATTGTCTACCACTAGTGGTCATGTTTCATTCAAAATCGTTTCCCCGTGACTGTGAATCATAGCAGGAGGCTGGCTACACATTATTTTGGAAAAACTCCTGAATCCAGAAAAGGGCAGTAATCCAAGTAACAATTTCTACTGTCTTCTCCGTGAGCTGGTCATGCCTGCATGTTTACATGGTTTTTCAACAGCTCCTGCAAACACCTCCAAACTAGATTTTGCCAGTTGAGAGTCATCAAAAATAAGTTTACTGTGTGGATGCATAGATCATTACACCTAGTAATCATCATACTGTGTTATACTATTATTATGTTAAAGATACTTAAATATAGATTCATTGAAGGCATTTGAATCTTACTCTTGTCTGTGATATGCAAGATTGCTGGAAGCTCGGAAGTGCTTTAAAACTGCATGCAATAAACAGTGCAGGCATTTTGACTTCTGTTGTGTGGCTAACTGACAGTAAATCCACTAAAAATCCTACACTCAACAGCATCTGTGTTTTTAATGTAACTGTTAAAATGTTGGGACCTTTATTTTACCCTTCTCATGAGGTACTGTTACAGAAAGGAAGTTTTTCAGACAGAAAAAGTACTTGTTGTAATGATTGTCTTCTCATGTCTTTATTAATGTTGAACTGGTGATGTTTACCCCAAAATCCTACCCCACTAATGCTGCCCGTGCTCCTAATAAATGGTTATTTGGTAGGATCTGGCCTGACAGAAACTAAGATCAAGATTTTCACCCATGGTGTCTAAAATGTCAGTCTGCATTTTGGCATACAAAAATACTTTGTGATTTACACAAGCATGAAAACTTTCCTGCAGTTGCCTGCTCAGCACTTTTGACAAGCAAGCTGCTTCTATTTAGGTGATGAAGTAGACAGTTACCTCATTACAGACAACACTTGAAAATGTTGGTCTTCATATTCCATTGTACAAAATCATCTTCTGGTCTTGTCAACACAAGAAGCATCACCCAGTTTTCACAGTTAGTGCCCAAAATATACACAGCAGAACCAGCTGTGTGCTTTTCTAAAGTTGCTGTTTATCTTCCATTGGGACTGTATCCGTTGCTGACAACGATGGGTCAGTCTGTTCTGTTGTAAGCAAACTTTGATTGCTCTGTTTTGCAGGAGAGGTTCAAATGTTTCACTCACATTGGATATGTGTACCCCAGGCTGTTCTGAGCAAGGTTTTGGCTATGTCATGTCACCGCGGGAACAGTCAGCCAGAGAGTACCTCCAGACAGCATCAAACATTCTTACTGAAGAGGAATTGCACAAGAAAGCACTGGATCCTTTCATACTCCAGGCAGAGTTCTTTGTGAGTATTTGACCTCTCTTGTAGGAGCATCAGAAAAATGGGATGTTGTCTCTCTTTTATGAACCTTGCTGTTACTTTCTGCAAGTCTAAAATTAGTATGAACTCCACTACCATCAGTGAAACATTTAATGCAATTCCCAAATTTTTCATCCCTTGAAATGACAATGTCTGAAAGCTTTCAGTGTTATTGTCACTTAAAAACTAGAGAATTGCTTCTGGCAGAAAAAAAAAAAAATGCAAAAAAAAAAGCTTAGTTTTCCCAAGTTTAGTGTTTTGGGTTTTTTTTCCTGTTGACTTGGTACTTTTTAACAAAAGAAAAAAACCCTAACTTTTTCACTAGAGAAAGTGAAACTTCACTAGAAGAAAAGTCAAGTTTACTATAGGCATAACTTCCTGCAATGTGTCTAAAGATGCCCTAGGGATGAGATTATTCCAAGTGCATGCTCTTTGCTGTTGAACAGTTGGCATGGAGCTACTTTCCAAGCCGCAATGTTCTCCAGTTAACCAAAGCACAGGATATCTATGTCACTCAGCAGGAGCCATAGAAAGTATGTCTTACTGGGGTTTTTTCTGCACAAAAATTCTTTACTGGTTGTAAGCTGCTCGGTCAGTTGTTTTTAGAATTCGAAAGTATATTTTCTTGCTTCACTGTATCCAGTGTTGCTTTGGGAGAAAGAATTCTTCCCCTCATTTTGGAAAAAAATGTACATATTCAGATGAAGCAAGCAGTTGAAAATTGGATTTTTGAGTAGTTTAGGATAAAGGACAGATACATTTCAGTGTATTGAGTACACTGCCTTTTTAGTTCTTTACATTCTCTGAGTCTCTTCCCTTATTCATTGAGTGTCTGTGTGATAAGCATTGTCATGTTTATTATATCTGGAAAAAAAACATAGAAAATGCTGCAGTGGCTATGTATATTATGTGTACTAGTCAGTGTTGTAAATTCCTGCACAAGATGGAAGGTAACCAGGGCACAGCATTTGCATGCTGGGGTATTTCGGAGCACGTGATCAAGAGCTACTGAAGTTAATTCTGCCAAGTCAAATACTCTCTTAAGCATGGAATCTCGGCAGAGGAGGAGGAAGATTATGTTTTGCAACATAACAGCCCTTTCAGCCTGTCCTCTTTATGACCTGTAAGGGTCTTAAAGGGCAGGTGTAACACTGTATCGCTTGCTGTCCTCCATCCTTGTGCAATTTCAGGGTTTTTTTCAGTTTACAAGCATGGGGGGAGATGAGATAGTCTGGACTTCTGTTATAAAACAGACCACTAGATATCTCTGGTCCTTGATTCACTTAGTGCTGTAGAAGTTGAAGAAAAGCAGCTTTTGTGGAGGCAAGCCCTGATTCTTCTAAATTAAAGCATCTATTGCTGTTCTAGGGAGGAAATGTTCACTTAGTGTCTGAATTGACTGATGGACAAGTCCACATACAGTTTCACCAGTCTCTGAGGTGTATTGTAGCTTTCAAGCAAAGAAAATAACGTTAGAAGTAAGAAAAAAATATGCTTCATTTCTGTGAGAGATTTTGAATTAGTATTCCTGGTGTTCAGAAAATCATTTAACAGCCAAACTATCCCAAGCCATTTTCATTCTTTAATGAAAACTGAAAAAGCGTAGACAAAAATGCTGTGCAATCAAAATGTCACTTCTGTAATTAAAAATTATAAACTAGTAATTTTTTTTTATGAAAGTTACCATCAGCTAGCTCTGCCTCATGTATTTTCAGTCTGCCTAACCTACTCGTTTTTCTGAGTTCTGATCCATGAAATAGCAAACAGCTGTTTTCATTTTGGAAGACAAGTCAGAGGGGATGTCACTTGCAGGGCTGAGCCCTGAAATTCTTCCAAGATTTAGAGTTTTTACTTAGGCAGAAGTCCTCTTGGTTTCGCCAAGAATTTGCTTGACCAGTGAGTGACAAAATCCCAAAAAGCAGACCATGGAGCTTAGCTCGAGAAGAGTTTTGGGTGACTAAATACCAAGTGATAATTGAGGAAAACATGAAGATTTAATTCCTGTGCAGTTCCCCAGATTGATAGGAAACTACTTTAACAAAATGTTTTTATTACTGTTTGACTCTGGTTAAGCCTAACAGTACACTCAATGCTGTGTAAGAAACAGAATGCAGGTAGTCAGCCTTCTAAAGTTCCAGAATTTAAGAGAGTCCATAGCTCTGCTCATCTTAATTTCTTCCCAGAGTGAGGCTTGTCTTACTCAGACCTGACTCCCATTACCGCTATGTCCAGTGCTGACCTCTCAATCCAGTGTGCAGCAGCTGGGATGACCAGCTCTGCTCCCAAGCTTCCAAGAGCCCTTTCTCTGATGAGCCTGGTTAACACATCCCATCTCATCACAAGCCTACTGACTCCAGTTGGTGAAAGGTTCCTGTTTGTTCCTGCCTGGCCATTTACTTCCAGGAGATGAGTAGCAAAGAATAAGAATCCCCTCCATCTTTGTGTATTCTTCACATCAGCAATGAGAGAGTGTAGAGAGGAGGTAATCCCTGAACACCTGGTTTGCTGTCCTTGCCCATGGAGCATTAAAGTGTGCTGAGCAAACAGTGATGCTCCCCCAGCTCCAGAGTCAGGTCAGTATGACAACCTGTCACAACGTGTGTCATAATTTGTTGCTGGTGAGAGTCACTAGCAAATTATTCCCTTCCACCCTCAGGAAAAAGGAGTGTGAGTCAAAAAGGATGGTGTCTGAGGTCCACTGCTCTTGGAGCAGAGTATCTTACATGCCACCTTTTGCTTAGTTCTGTGCCTACACTTGCAATTCAGTTCTAATAATATTAGGAGCTAACATAGCTGTCGTGTGTTACTCAACGAATTAGTCACTATGAGCATTTTCATATTAAGGATTTCAGAAAAGAAAGCCTGTGACAGTAAAAGGAAACATCAATCATATTTTGGTGGTAAATTGCTGGAAGTACTGTACCATATGTCTCAGTTAACTTCATCACTTTGCCTCACTCACAGGCAGGACGTAATGGGCTTGGGATCTTTATTCCTCTTGTGACTCTAATAATACTACCCACTGTGTTTTGTGTTTGGTGGTTTTTGTTTTTGTTTTTTTTTAACAGGAAATTCCAATGAACTTTGTTGATCCAAAGGAATATGATATTCCAGGCTTAGTGCGTAAGAATCGCTACAAAACAATTCTCCCAAGTAAGTTTCTGCTTTTTAAGTCACTGAGGCAGAGTGGTTTATTCCACATGCTGAAGGACTTTGCACTTTCCTTTCCAGAATACACGAAGTGTGCTGTTGCTGCAGTGTATTGTCCACAGGTCATATGATGAAGCACCAGCATGGCTTCAAAGCATAAATCACGTTTCAGAATTGGTACAGAGCATGAAGAACCTAAGATTCACTGAACATCAGCAGCACTTCAGTTTTTAAGTCATTAAAATTTACATAATTTGGTGCTGCCTGAAAATTTTACCCAAGAACTTGATGTGTTTATTCAGATGTTACTTAGTGGTTTCTTTGATTGAACTCCTTTAGACGGACTAAATTCTAGCAATGTTATTTTCCTGACTGATGTTTTTCTCAGAATCATGCCTTGACTGCAAACTGAAAATATTGGGAACTGGCCTGATGGCATTAAGATGGTACAGAAAATCAAAATCTTTTTCTTTTCTGTTATGCTATTTTGATTTGTAGCCAGGAGTAGGAGTTTTGAGAAACATTTTGGTACAAATTTTTACAAGTGTCATCATTTTCCCCTCTGTCATACTTAAAGTTACTTTGAAAAGTGATACGATTAGATGTCATGCCTCTTTTTTTTGCTCTAAGCCATTGTTGGAAGATGCCACCATTAACCACAGTAGCTCTGTTTGCAAAGCCTGGAAGGTTCAGTGTCAGGTTAGCAAAGGTAAGTGCAGAGAAGTCAGAAATGTCCTCAGTTATACCTGTCATTTTAGTCAATTAACCTGGATTGGAAATGGTTCCAGAAAAGATTTTTTTCTTTTTTTCTTTTTTTTTTTTTTTTTAATCTAGACTTACAACTCTGGCAGCTGCAGCTAATGATCCAATGTGCACAACCCTTCTGATGACTTTGTACTCCACCTTAGACCAGAAGTGTAAAAACATTCAGCCACATTTCATTATTGCTGTGCCTAATGACTGAGGTGAATTGTTCAAGTATGAATTCACTGGTTTTACTGGAAAGGGAAGATTGCAAAAGTGGCTAGTGATTCCAGATGCCCAAACTGCTAGATTTTGAAGTGATCTATATATTCTGAATTTGGTATCTAATGTATCCTTTGAGAACTGGATCCATTTTAAATATCTCATATTGGATGTGTAAACTGAAGCATCAGAACTGATGCCGTTTTGAACACCCTAACAGATGCCAATTGGCCCACTACCTTATATTTTTAAGAATGATCACTCAATGGGTTAATTATTTACTGCAAATTTCATCTCAGCCATATGGGTATCTGCTAGCAGCCATTGTTGTTGCTTTGATCTCTCCAGATAAGTAGTTTCTAACCTACCATGCCTCCAAGGGTTAACAAGCTTATTCCAAGGTCATTATGATCTGAAATTTTTTTCCAAATGAATCCCTAAACTAGTAACAGAAGTTCCTAGTGCAACTTTGTCCCTGGGTCTGACCAAATGATGACTTGATATGCTGAGGAAAGAAGAGGGCTGACTGTTCACTTTTATCCAACTACCTCCATTTTGAAGTGCTTGGTGCTGGCCGTAAAGAGGCTAGCAAGGAGAGCTAAACATCCCCTTTATCCTTCAAAGCCAAGGGTCCCAGTAAACTATTCATGAACAAAGTAGGAGAGGAAACTGGAGGCAAGATGAGGGAGAGTCCCGTGCTTTTCAGGCTTTTATCATCCACTGACTTTTGTTTCTGAGCTGACCAAATGTAGTCTATGCTGCCTTGAGTATCTACCTAGCATTCTTGCAACTTCTAGCTGCAGAAAATAGTAATGGCAGGAACTGCTGAACAAAGTGCAGTACAGCAGACTCAGACAACCGATTATCATAGGGAACAACAAGTGCTTGATTAACAAACTGGAGTCAAAACAAAAATCTGAATTTAAAAAAGTAACTGAAATTCCTTTACCAGTTATATCGCCAGAAGCAATCTAGGCAGTTATCATTAAAAGGTAAGCAGTCACTTAACATAATGAACAGTTACTTGTTGTAGAGTTGATTGTAATAAGTGAGAGACATTATAATAATCTGTAATTAATTTAATTTCTATTTCTTTTGTAATAATTCTTTTTGCAGATTCTCCCAATTTTGCTGTTGGTAGTAAAATGGCTTTTTTGATGGCGGAAGGATGTTGTTGGGAAAATGCCAAGCTAAGGAGGTTGATTTGAGTATTTCCTAACTATGAATTTGTTTGCAGACAGTCCTCTTCTGGGAATGAGTCCTATGTCATTTCCTGGAAGATTATAACTTTTCTCTAAGAAGTTTGGAGGCACTTTTTGAATATATATAAAAGGATGTTCTTGTTACAGAATTCCACGGGTGGCAAGAACTTACTGAAACATCTTGTATATAGTCTCATTGAATCCTTTCCTCAAGAGTAATATCTAGATGACAGACTTCTAAAATTTCTACATTGGTCTATTGCTTTTACACCATTTTAAGTTATGCAAAACATTTCAGTTAAGTTTAGTGAGTTTCTGTAAAATGTCAGACATAGCATCAACACAAAATGGCCATCAAAGAGACTGTGGAAGAAATAGCTGACCTATCATTTGGTTTCTTAGAGATGCAGACTACTGCTGCTTTTTTAAAGATGTGGTGTCTTCCTGAACCTGGCCTGTGCGCTGGTTTTGTCCTGGGAGAAATGTTTTCAATAAGAGTGGGATTTGGGTTTGCTTAAATGCCTCTCTATTGAAAATTTGAAATTCAGACTGCAAACTCTTATATTAATCTTTTCAGAATTTATTTTTTTTTTAAAAAGGAGGGCTTATTCCTGTTTATATATTTCTAAGAGATGCGAGTCAGCTTCAGCTACACTTTCTGCAAAACAGTGCACGTTCCTGTATCAACAGTGCATTAGTAGGCCTCTCTTATATGAAATGAGCTTGAAACTGTTCACTAACATACTACTTTAACAAATGTAAATACTACATTAACAGAAAAATCACAGGCCACTTATTATAATTTAAAGTAAAATCATATTTTGAATAATGTTTTAGTATTTGTGGATACAGCAATAAAAAATCCACTGTGAAAAGTAACTCAAATTCTACTGTGGTTGAAGAATACTGAAAGAAGCCTGTGCTTAAAAGTCTGTGGCACCTGTTGATAGAGTTCTTGAGATCCATTTTATTTCTTCCTAAAGACCCACCATGAAATGGACAACATGGTGTTATTGCTGTTATTTTTAGGGAAAAAATCATGTAATCGTTACTCAGACTTCAGTAGACTCGATGGATGACTCCATAAAAGCCAGGCAAAGGGACTTCATGCAAGGGGTCTAACTACCCAGTCTAGTGCCTTTTAAATAAACATCTGGCAACTAATGTCACCTTTTCAGTGGTGTGACATATTGCAGGCTATCAGAATTACTGATTAAAAAGTAGATTTTCTCTTGTCTCACCATCTCCCAAGCACTAGAGATGTGAGCAAAGTTGAGCAGGAGGGAACTGTATTAGGAACTCACTGGTTTCAGTACTTCTGTGCTATAAATCAGTATCTTTGTTAATATTTTTGCTTTGTGGATTGTGCTTATATATCACATAGTAGATAACATGAATCCTTTCTGCCTGAGGACAGCATTTCATGCTGAGTCTGTGTTTGTAGTACTGTAGAAATTACTGTGTGCTTAGTCCTTTTGTGCTTTACCCAATATCATGCTATTTTTGCATACTTTTTATTTTGTTCTGGTTTCTAAGCAGGCTGAATTATTTTTTTTTTATGAAGAAGTCATCTGTGGTTTGTTTTTAATATTCTGGTGATATACTCTATTGCTGTTTGCTGAGGCTTCTATCAGGAAGATGTTTCTTGTCAATGATAACAAACTGTGTAGTACTGGTGAAAGTGGATGAGCATGAGCCTGTGTCAGGTCACATTAAAATCAGTGAACAGCTCCCACTGACTTCAGTGAGAATTGAACTGAACTTCTCAGGTGGAATAATGTTTTCATTTGTCATCTTATTAAAACAAGAGTAATGCTTCATAAATGGCTCTGGTGAAGAAAACTTAAGTAGTGAAGAGACTCATGCAAAGTACAAAAAACTGTTAATATTCTTTAATTTCTCTTTAACTATTATATTTGTTGATAGCACATCTTGGAGTTTAGTTTGCTGCAAGACAAAACAGGGAGAGAGTTATTGTCATCTGGCTTGCCCATGTGCAAGAAATGTGTGTTTATGGTTTGAGAGAAAAGCTGTTTGCTGTCATTTCACAAACAATATTCTCATGTCTTACAAGCCAGAATGAGTCTGTTGACCTAACAAATTGAGAAAAAATTTCCTAGAGCAGAAAACTGCTTTTCCAGAATCACTCTGAGACACTGACTCTGCAACAGGAACAATTAAGCACACTTCAGATAGTAGGTAAAACTATCAGAAGAAGCCAAATTACCCCAACCATTCTTGCCCCTTTTTTGTGGTAACATTTTAACATGAGAGCTCTCCAAGGCCACTCACATCTGTTGTGATGGCCATGAATGCATGTAAATGGCTCACTGTACAAAATAATCTTGTGTCTCTCTTCTCTGAGCAACTGATAAACTATTACTTATCTCTTTACAACTTTCAGATCCTCACAGCAGAGTGTGCCTTACCTCAGCTGATCAGGACGACCCCCTCAGCTCTTACATCAATGCAAACTACATCAGGGTAAGAGCTCAACAGTCCAGTGTGTTTGCCTGTCATTTATCAGCCACTGCCAATGTAAATGGAATTGCAACATGCACTGGCTTTAAAGTCACCCTAGCTGAACTGATTGCTCTTCTCTCCTGCTTACATTAACTGAAAACCAAATCTCAGAGTGAAACTGTGTACAGGTTCAAACGAGACAAAAACACATTTCTGCACTTCTTGATGTAAATTACTTGTCAGCTGGCCTGACCAAGGCACCAGACAGTAGGCCTGAATAAAGCTCTTGACCTACTCAGAGTTACCTCAATGCTGTTGGACACTGATTTGCTGGGATTACTTGAGTCCATACTGTGCCTTTGTTCCATGTACATATATGCAGGAGAGAGAGAGGGAAAGAACTGAAGCTGTGGAGTGACTATTTCAATCAATGGTAGCTCTCTGATTGAACCTTCAAGGTTGTGGTGGACATCCCTGTTAAAACTGATCTCTTCTTGTTTTGTTGGCAGGGCTATGGAGGAGAGGAAAAGGTATATATTGCTACTCAGGGACCGATAGTTAATACTGTCAGTGATTTCTGGAGAATGGTGTGGCAGGAGCGTTCTCCCATCATTGTCATGATTACCAATATAGAAGAGATGAATGAGGTAATGGTTTTACATATAGTCTGTATTTTTATCTGTACTCTAGCAGGTATTTTCAGCATAGATGCTAAGTCAGTGAACAGAAGTTAGTTCAGTGGCCTGAGCAATCAGAGCCAGCATTAAATTCTTCAGGCTCAGAGAAGATGTGGGCTTCTCTTTCAGTTCAGTTTACTGTAAGTCTTGTTTTGCTATCTGACTTAGCCTAATGCTGGTTTTGCCATTTTTTTCTCTTCCCAACTGACCTGAAACCTCTACAAACTGAGTTCCATTTGCAGACACTCTTTCAAGTTCTCTCTAAAGGAATCGAAAACAATAGTACCCCATAGCTGCTAAGGTTGAATGTCTTTAATCACCAGAGCTGGCGCCGCTTTATTTTGCATTTATTATGATTCAGTGTCTATATCCACATTTCCTTGAGGCTTTTCCTGACTTATGAAAGAAGCTAGTTATAATAATCTACAACTAGAGCTGACTTGGATATGGAGGACCTTTACCTGAATGTGTCTAGGAAATGCTTTTGAAATATTGAAATGAAGATGTTGAAATTGTGTATTCACCACCTACTTTCAGAAATATAAACCATTGTGGTGTTTCTGCTAATCCATCTAATGTGATTTTTGTTTGCAGTTTAAAATACTGTTGCCCTCCAACTGTTCATTAGTTACCTGCTGAAATATTTGCCCTGTATCAGAGTTGCAAGAACTGTGTCCCTCGGCTTCAATTCATAGACAGGTAGCTGAGCTTACGTCTGCCTTTATCGGCAGTGTAAGATGTGAGAGTCGTCTGGGCATGTGTTGGGCTCTGCATCCCTCCCTCACTACTGGCAGCAAGGTGTAGTGGAGAGATCCGACTGGTGTTTCTGAAGCTGCAGCAGCAGGATTTGTCAAAGCTTGCCCTTGAGAATGTCCCTGAGAACCTATTAGTAATTTAGGTGGGAGACTTTCCTTAAGAGAAGAGGCTTTAGACACTTAGAAGCCCAAGAATATGGGCATACCTCCATCATACACACAGTTAGCATGGCCTAACTGCCAGCTGGATGCTTAGTGCCCATAATTATGCATGTGCAAAAACCTTTAGCTTTCCCCAGTTGCAAAGTAAATAAATTTAACCTTGAACTTCAGTGAAAAAAGACATGAACAAGACACACGAAATTATCATGTTTTGCATGTTAAAGTTGGTCAGTTAATACAGTCTGCTGATAGGTCACATACTGTCAATGCATTGCTGATGCAAAATAGTGTATTGCTGATCTAAATGTTTTGTTTGCACTAACATTTTAAACTCACATCTGCTTCTATCTGAGAGGCAGCACTGAAGCGATAACTTGCCTGTTGATCAGGGTTGCCCGTGTATGGCAAATAAGATGTTAAAATGTCATGACATAGTGTGCCAGAATCTTTTAAGGACTTTGAGGTTTAAGGAAGATGCAGAGGGAATATTGGTCCTGAATGACATATCTGGTGATAAGTTCTTCCGCTATAGTTGTCATAGCAAGATTGTGTAACAGGAATGTAAAATAACCGTTGCATCTGAATTTCCTCTTATCCACACTGACCAGGTATTTTACCCATGATAGCAGTCTTGGAAAGCAGTGCACTGCAGCGCTCATATACTGTATAACTAGAGCTTGCTTCAGTCTGTATATCGTAACAGAGCTGCTGACTCTTTTCTGATACCTTTTGTGTCAGAAATTAAATGGTGTCAGGAATCTCAGCTGTAAATATAGGGTAAGTCCTTTCATGTAAATGTCTTCTATAGTCATTCCTTTTCTTCCATAACACATATATTAATACATGAATAACAGGACTCAGAAGTACATAGATTCAAAACCAAAATCTTTGTTCAGCAATGATGCTAGTAGCAGAGGCTTTGTGTTCCTCCTCAGTGCAATGATTTTGCTAATGTATTAAAAGCTCTGTATCTCAGCCCTCTGTCACATCTAATCTGAACTAACAGACAGCCCACAGAAATGAGTGGGCAATCTTACTCCACTCCTTTAAGCAGAGCAACGTCTGTGCTATTGATAGCTGCTAGCTCTCTTGACAATTTTTACAATGGATTCTGCAGTTTAAGAGTAGAGGAAGAAAAAACACAATCTGCGTAAATACTTTCAGAGACACAGTGGGCCACGCTCCCAGAGGGTTATTAACTGATGCACTATGCAGATAGAACAACACTCATTCTCCCACACAAGAATTTTGACTCGGTAACTTTGCAAGATACTTTTCTGTTGTTAGTTTTCTTTTGAAGTGAAATTCTTTTTGTGGGGAAAAGCAGAATGATTTAACTTGCTTCCTTCAAGACTGCACACAGCTATGTAAGAGAAGAAGCTTACAAGCATCACCTTTAACTGGGTTTGTCCAATAGCAGATATTTATTCTCCTGTGATAATAAGATTGCTTTTTCCATTATCACAAGGGAGCTTTTTTCTCAGACCCTGCCTTGTTCGTGTCATTCTTTGTCCATTATCTAGTTCATGCACCATGTTGAAGTGCCTGTCTCTTCCTTTGCATATTGATTAGTTTAAAGAGACTGCATACCAAAAAACACAGTCTTTTTCAGTCCTCCTTCCAGGATGGGAGTGCTTACAAATTCTCACCTACTCACCTCTAATGTAGCAGTACCACAATGTAGATTTGCAAATGGACTGTAGTTTCTGCTTCTGTAATTGTCAGATTGTGCTGGCTGCATCTCTGGGTTTTTTTGCAAAATCAAATGTAGTAGTCTAATAGCTCTCACAGCTATTGCTTCCTTTTAGTTCCTTAGCTTTGAAAGATTCCCAGTGTCCATTTAAAGTGGATTTTGGTATATAATCTAATTCCCAAAACATCCCCAGTCATGTTGTTTTGTACAAAAACCTACGCAAATGATCATCTTGAATTTAGAGAGCACTGACCTTTTATAAAAAAATAAAATCTATTTTGTGTTTCCATATAAGCATATACATATCACAGAAACATTGGTAGCTAGTGTATATTATAGTAATCATTATTATCTTAAGAAAAGGATTAAACACAAGCACATTGCCACTGGCCTTTCCAATGAGCCTTCAAAATGCACATCAGTTGCATGAAGATAAATAAGGATGTGTGTATTCAAAAGCATTGGTTAGTCATTACTTGATTTGTGCATTTCTAATCACGCAATCAGGCTATTATGAATGCAGCAAAAATCACCTGAAATGTGGTCCCTGTTTAGAAAGTGAAAACTTGTACTTATTATAGAAACAATGTTTATTCATATTCATCTATGTCCTATATCCAATTTCAGAGGAGTAAAAATGAAGCTCCCTTGATACATGCTTAACTAGATTTATTTTATATCTCACACAGAAATGCACAGAATATTGGCCAGAGGAACAGGTCACCTATGAAGGAATAGAAATCACAGTTAACCGAGTCATACAAGCAGATGATTACCGTTTAAGGCTCATCACCCTAAAGGTAAATCATTCTGATGTACTTACAGTAGTTTAGCTGCCTAAACCCTTAAATGGAGATGTTCATGGAGAGTTGTGTAGAAATCTTGTGCACCGTGTACTGCTGTATAAATACTGCTTTTCATTACTGAAGTCATTATCACTCTGCCCCGTTCATCATCATACAGACGACGGTAAAATAAGCAGTCAGAGATGCAGACTGCATATGTACAGTCTGAAAGCTACCAAGCCAATTGTAGTAGTGTGAGATTCACTCAGTGGAAGAAACCAGTGACTCATTCTGTGCCTGTCCTGTGTGTTCACTGGTCATTTAGTGACACGTTAGCTCACAGATAGCTTCTCACCAACTTTTGTAGGTCATACTAGAGACAACACTTGTGGAATAACCCGCTAAACTCTGTGATGAAGTTCTGTAGAATTCAAAGGTTTGTTTATTCTTTGGGCCATGGTGCTTAGGCAAAGGGTTAGTGATTACTAACAGGGAACTTCTACCTGCATGGCAGCTTACATATTTTGTAGTATGGGGAGACCCCTAAGAAATATTCAGATTGTGCTTCTTGTCTTTTTATGATCGCTATTAGGATGCTGTCAGAGTGCTGGATACCCACCAGCTGTTTATATCCAAGATGACTTGTGCTTCTAACAAGAAGTTGGAGAGTTGAGAACTGAGCAAAAGGCCTTTTAATTTTGCTGACCTGTTTTCAGTTTCTCTCAGCAGTGAGACTACTGGTCTGCTTGGCACTTGTCAGTGGTGTGGTAGCACCACTTCTGTTCATCATGGCTGAACCCCTTTTAATAGGTACCATGCTAGTTTATTCTTTGAGCGATTTGGCTGAAGATGCTTTAAGGGATCATCCCACTCCAAGACACTAAAACTGTTGATGATCTTTAAAAAAACTTTTATCACAGCGTTCTCCATGCTTATATTTCTAAACATTAGTATCTTTCCAACTAAATATGTAGTTTTATATACCAGTAACCATTCTATCATCTTGTGGATAGAGAGCTTAATCACAGGTTTCATTTCTTAAGTACTTATTCTAAAGTACCAGAGTCCTATTTTACAACTGTTTTCATTGCTAGATTCTAGAATCTCAAGCTACATGTGTTAATAAGAACAGTCTATTTACATAAACTTCATACATCTTTCATCTACCAGATCTATCCCTGACCTCAGTATAACACCACAATTTCTTTCCAAGCTGAAAAAACTCTCCTTTTATCTAACCAGTTTCAAGTCTCTTCAGCCATATGCTAATAGGCAGAAAGCCAACATATGAAATCCCATGTCTGAATTGAGAGTGTGGAAAGTCTGTCACTCATGCTGTTGGCAAAGGCAGCAAGGAGAAAATCACACTCCCTGACAAGTGGGAAGTAAAGAATATTTACAAGTATGCTGCAGACTTGCAGAGGTCTTAAATACAACTTATCCCAAACAGTTCAGTGCAGTAGCAAGAATACACAGATTGATTTTGCTGGAATGCAGATACCTAACAGAATCGGTCACTTTTTGGTTATGGTGACAGAACAAAATATTCTCAATGAAAAAAAAAAATATACACTATCTGCCTGAAGAGTTTTCATAATTGTTTTAAATTGTTAAATACAGCATATTAGTATTAGTGAATATTGCAATTTTTATCAGCCTGACATTAATTTTAGAGATTTAGGTTGAATTTTTTTTTTCTCCCACACACCAACAACACTTTCCTTCGATATTTGTGGAAGGAAATTTGATTATCTCCCTGGGGAATGATCATTCAAATTCTTCTCAGGAAGGTTATATCTAGTTCCATTTTCAGATGGGAATTGCAAGGGAGTGGCTTTTAATAGTGATATTGCAGTACCATATTCAAAACCCCATCTCATTAACAGGTGTTACACAAAACAAAGAAACAGTCCTGCAAAGCTTACATACAACAATTCAAGTATAATAAGCCATACTACCATCTCACAAATACATTTCATGCTAATACTCATACCTGCAGAATGTTTTCTTCCAGCAACAACCTCTCTGTGTTTTCCCAGATTCTCTTGTCCCCACTCAGTTATTCCTTAGGTGAAGCTCTCAGTGTTAGAGAAGGAGCTTCAGAATTGAGAGCCAGATATGAATATATCTCTTCTGTATATATACGTAACTGAAAGCCAGATTACTTGTCAGGGCTGGTGTATCCAGTACATTCCAGCACTAACAGAAACTAAAAAAGAATAGCTAGAGTAGCAAAGTGTACAGTAAATTCATAAGTAAAGTATAGATACCACACATCTTTGCCAATCATAGCCAAGACAGACAAGTTCTTTCCTGTCATAAATGATACAAAAGCCTTTATTGGACATAAGCATCTCCAAGGATGTAGTTCCTTTGCTACTCAAATTACTTGATCGTTTTGATTATTTTCTTTAAGATCATCCCAGTTTGTTTTTCGGTTAAACAATGTCTTTGTTTTCAGTACTAGTGGGGCAGTGTCTCCTTTCCCTCTACCCCCAAACATCAGGAGGTGAGCTGTTGAGTTCTAGAGCTCAAATAAAGATTCCATTTGTCAAGTTGGCATTGCCTAGGGCTATACATCTGTCATTTAATAGCAATAGTGGAGTAGACCATATGTATATAAAATGACTTGGTAGTGAAAACTACAGAAGCCATGAATTGATTCCTGTTTTCTTTTAAACAGGAGTGGTCAGACATGTGATACCACCACCAGCAGTATATGACTACTGCATGTGTTACAGGGTGAACTGTCATACTTCTCTCAGAATAGGGGATTTGGCAAGATTTAGGAATTTAGGAAATGCCCAGACAATAGGGCAAGGCTTGTTTTCCTTTCTCAAAGGAACCTGCCAGTGTCTAGCCGCTGATTCATGGTCTCAGCTTCACCTACAGCATACATGATGGTAGACTTCAAACCATCAATTAAATCTTGCTTCCTCCTAGGTGTTTCCAAGTCTTCTCAGTCTCAAGGAAGCACCAATAGAGAATATTTTGTTAAAATCAAAACAGAAGTGTACAGCACCACAGATGTCAGAGTTCTCTGAGCAGAAGCGTAAAATTGGTAACAGCATAGACAAAACTAAAGACATTCCAGGTTCATCATTAGAACTTTGGCTGTTTTCTGTTTCTGTCAAATGATTGACTTTGTGAAGTGATTCATGTTTTTCTTCAGATGACTTTCATCTTTTACTTTTCTCTCAGTATTATTTACAACATTTATATTACAATTTTTCACAACCCACATAAGAATCCAGTGCTCATAAATTCTGTGGCTCACACATAGTCACACATTCAGAAGCAACTGTGTATGTTCATGTTTCAAAGCAGCATTGATCAGATTTACTGTAGTGAGCTCAAGTGCTATTCACAACAATTAGTTATGCTCTCTTAACCACAATATCTTCTCACTACAGTAAATAACCTAAGGCCAGGCTCTGCATTGTGATAGTAAGATTCTTTTTTTCCTAAACTGAGCTAGACATACCCTTAAGGTTCCTGTGGCTGTGCTTCAGTGAGCACTTTAAACCCACTGTAAACTGAAACAGGAACTCAATGAAGCCCAGCCACCCTTTGTCCGGCTCCTTTATTCCTACCCTTGTATCATCTCCCATGTGCCCACACAAGTGTTTATGTGTCTGTGTGGTAAACCAAAGGGGGAGAATGGTTAGATCCATCTGAAAATTAATCCAACATGAGGAAGAAAAAAGATTTAACTAGATCACTTCTCCAATTTAGTTCATTGTAAAGCTGTGCAACAGCTTTGTCAACCAAAGAGAAGGATGGAGAGTGGCACAACCACAGAGCACTTTTAACATCCAGAGACTGACAGTCATAGGGATTTAGGAGTTTAGGTGATAAACTATTTCCAGATTTTGTGATTGGTTCCTTAGAAAGAGACGAATTTGTTTTTTGCTTTTGTTTTTTCCTCCACTCTTAAACTTAGCCAGCCACGTGTTTAAGGGAAGGTTGTGGAAGCTAACACGTCTGTTCCCAGACCTTTTGAAGACATTTGCTTAGCACTATGCCAGCTGGCTTATGTAATGGCTGAAAGGGTAAGGCCAGTTCCCTGAGCTCCATGTTACTATTTGGCACCTTTAGAAATCGGGCAGAAGGATGTCACTTTGAACACACAATATCACAAGCACACAGTGCTACTTGGCACTCAGAAAAGGTAACAGCACATTTGGTGTATTCATAGCCACGCTGAGACAGAGAGGGAATTGGAATTTGTGTCTCAAAAATCCCTGAACTGTGTCTAGATACAATTCCCGCCTTCCATAGTGTTTCTGAATTTCTCACCATATCTAAGAGAAAAGTAGAATTGACAGGAAACTGGTATGAGTCTGTCTGTCAGAAGAGATAGAAAAATAAGCTCCCATCTCTCTCCCTCATCTATCTATCTATCTATCTATCTATCTGAGACAGAGATATGGCTCCTGGCTCTCTGTCTGTCAAATACATTATGAAAGCAATTATGTCACAAGCACAGCTCTGGCTTTGCTGAATGAATCTGTCGAGAGAACAGACTGCCTGGAGTGTTTTGCACACAGTTCTTGGCACTAAAAGAGCAGAATATTTTGCGGGGGGGGTGAGGGGAGGGGGGTGCAGTTTAAGGCAGTTTACTGAAGTGCAGATGTGATATTTGAAATCCAGATTTCTGTGTTGTGTGGCTTGCCATTTGGATCTGCTGTTCCATTTAGCATTGATTTACTCATATCATTCTTAAAGGGAAGGCCAAGTTTCAACATCAATTTACAACCAGAATTTCTTTTAAAACTGTGATTTTTGTCTTAAATGGATTACAGAAAGGAGAAGAAGTCAGAAACCTGAAACATTACTGGTACACATCTTGGCCAGACCAGAAGACACCAGATCAAGCCCCACCTCTGTTACAGCTTGTACTGGAAGTGGAAGAGGCCATGCAGAGTGCAGAAGAGAAGAATGCCCCAGTGATTGTTCACTGCAGGTAAATAAATGTGTCCGACTTCTCAGGGCTTCTTCATACGCAGTGGCATAGTGCAGATACTATCATATTGGCCATCAGTCAGACATGGGAGATCTTGCCCAACTGCTGTTGAAATATGCTCGGAACTTCTAAAATTTAATGATAATTTTCTATTACCAAGTGTTGCATTCAGATAAAGACTAAGCTGAACACAGAAGCTGGTGGTGGCTCAGTTACTTGTAAAAACAGTCTAATTTCATTTGCCTTAACAGTATTATATGCCTTTAATGATCTTAAAAGGGCCAGGTTACCAAAGATTAACATACTGTGAGTGAAACTGAGTAAGAAGACACATGCAATCATTAAAATGAGAGAGAACATTAAACTTTAAGCCTCAAAACCCCCTGTTTTGTAGATTCCTTCTTTGATTTTAACAAATCTTCATTAGGCCGAAGACAATAATTTAATACATAAAACAAATGAAACAGTGGCAAAGCTGATTGCAGCAAGTACTAATCAACAGACAGGAAATATATGCAATTGATAGTAAAACTGAAGTATCCATGAAAAGCCCCTGGCAAAGATGAAAATTTCTTATTATGGAAGAAGCAAAATCTTTACGGTGGTTTGAAGCCTGATGAGAAAATTATAATTATCAATCACAGAGCAGAAAAAATAGATAAAGATAGATACTTCTCTTCTGTCTTCAGAAAGAAGTAGGATGAGGTACTTATCACTTGTAGACATGATGATGTACGTTCCTTTGCACTGCTAACTAGGGAGTGTGTCAAGCAACAAGTACTAACCATTATTAAATCAGCTACGCTGGATGATTTTCACCCAAGAATGTTTAAAAAAATAGGTTCACAGGCTCTAAACCATTAAAGTTTACTATAGCTAGATTCTAGTTCTTGGAAAATTTGAGAAATTCCAGAGGCCTAAAAGCAAGTCCTGTTTTGCCAGTGTTTAGAAAGGTTAAATGTGATTACTTGAAAACTACAAGTCAGTTCCCAAAACAATTATTCCAGGTAAATAGCAGAAAGCCTGATGAGCAATGCAGTAATCTTGCCAGGCTAATCTTCTATAATTTCAATAAAATACATTTTACTAAATTGATCTTCAGGATTTTTGTAAGGAATTTTACTTAGTTATGCGTAAGATTTTCTAGGAGATGGCAGATGGTTGCTATCCGAAAGATTTAGTAAATGGAATATTACCATACAATGGGAATGTTTTTAAAGAGACTCTTGACATGAATGGTTGGTAGCTTGGTGTCATCAAAGATCCACCTATAAATTTATATGGAGTAATCGCTAGTAAAATGTTCGTATGATGCCACATGTCCAGTTTTTCTGCCTGTGTTTTAAAACAGATTTTGACAAATTGGGGAGAGTTCAGAGAAAAATAAGAAATGGTTTGTAAGAAGGTCCCCTTTGTCCTTGGAAATCTGTGACTCTCTAAGAGCTCCTTGAAGTATTATGGTATTTACTGCAGGTAAAGATTCTGGTCACCATGTCACTCTTGCTTTGCATACTTGTTTTGTCCTCTTGTATGGTGTCATCCCCATGACACGGTAATAATTTGGGGGGAAATGGGGCGTTTTTATTTGAAATAACTACTAAGAGACATGGTGATAGGATTATGAAGTATTTTATGTGATAACTGTGGACCAGACCCCTTTCAGATTATTCTCAGTTGCAGTCATTTTATCTGAAGGCATTTAATACGTTGCCTCTATTTGAGAGTGGTATATGCAGCAACACATTAACCAAGGCCTGTTTTACGCTGAGTACTGTAGCTCCTTTGCCCTTTGTGGGAGATCCTCAGTAGAACATAATCACTGTGGTTTTGGCCCTCAGTGATGTGAAATAATGCACTTTTAAGAAAAACTAGATAGAAACCTAATAATCGTGAAGCTATTATTAAAAGCAGCTTTGTGTTAAAGTCTGATTAAGGTGCTATGGATAATGCGTCACTCCTGATCAGTCTTGGAGGGATTATGATTTTCTTGGCCACTGAGAGACTTACTTGCAGCTTGTCCTGGGACAAGTGCTGCCTCAGTGGTGGTGTTTGTTTTATGTAAAACTGGGTGTTGTTCCCTCCTTTTGTGAAACACTGAGCTCTATCAGTAGGTAACAGTATACAAGAGCTGTGTACTGTGGCCTGTGTGGTTATGGCATCAACTGGAAGGTGAAGGGCCTTTTTTTTTTTTTTTTTTTTTTTTAAACCATTGATGTACATCCATATGCAGCAAAGAGTCCTCTGAAAACCTGAAATATTTGAAGTCTTGATGAACAAACTAGATATAGTAAAGAAAAGGAAAGTCAGGACAATGAGCTACAGAGAGCTTCAGGGACAAAAATTTTAAGTCGGGTAGGTACCTCCATCACAATTATTTGAAGAGTGAGATGAGTTCTTGTTAAGACCGTACCCCAAACTTTAATTGAATTACATCAATCATTCTGTAATACAAGTTAAAACGATTCCAGTGTAGCTGTTTCCCCAACAAGCATAAACTCAGCGTAAAAAACCTGTCCGTATAGTCAAACAATATTAGGACTTTGCGAGCAGCAGCAAACTGCAAATTCCATTGTTGCTTGTACGTTTGTTGCCAGTGTTTTTGTATTACAACTTTAGCACAATTTAAATGGAAGCAGGATTTCTTGCTGTTGTGTCAAGTAATTATTCCTGAGTATGCTCACTTAATTATTTAATGCATAAAAAGGGCTGTCAGCTTTTGCTGCTAGTTTTTTATTAGGTAATAAGAATTCACAGCTTCGATAGCACAGTTCCTTTGAGAATAAAATCAATTCTGGTCATTAAGCAAGGACTCAATCAGATACAAAGTTGTTCAGGAAAGACAAAGAAATTTCTTTAATAGTGAATTTGTTGCATCCTGCACTAATTCAGAGAATTACTAGATTGTAGATCTGATCAGCAAATGGCATCACACTTACTATACTGCTGTTAGCTCTAATTATTTAAGCAAGTGGTTTTTTTTACTGTACCTGTGAATGAAAATATCATTTGAAAAAGCTATTAGGATTAAGAATCTCAAAGCAAAGGTTGCCCTCAAGCCACATCTAACGAAGAAATACCATTTAACTACTTATTTTCAATGGTTCCATGAGAGGTTTAGTGATATATTGGGTCAAATGGTACCATTTTTAGCACTGTACATGCAATGTTCACACTTTTGCTGTGAGTGGCTCACACTGAATTGTGTTGTCCTGTTGAAGTTAGTATCTTTTCCTAGTTATGGCTTTATATTCACAAGAACCCACCTGGCAAAGGTTGGAGGGAGGAAAGGGATAATGGGGGTTTGATTGCTGGTTTAATGGCACTCATTTAACAAGAAAGTTCCAAAGCCATTCTAACATCTCCACTGCCTCTCTCTGCTTTTCCCTCCCTTAGTGCAGGCATCGGGAGGACTGGCTGCTTTATTGCAACTAGTGTCTGCTGTAAACAGCTGAAGAGCGAGGGCATAGTTGACATATTGCGAACAGCCTGCCAGTTACGGTTAGACAGGTAAGAAAGCCTGTTTCCTTTCCAGAAAAATAAAAAGAAAAATCGTAATCTTTCCCTTTGTTTAAGGAGAAACAAATGGGAAGAGGGGAGGAACAAAGGCAAATGGAGGCCAAGAGAGAACATTCCTCAAAGGAAATTGTCATCTTCTAAGCGGTTCTCACTTGTAATCTTTGCCTATTTTATGAGCAGTAAACCTTAATGAGCGGCCCTAGAGCTGAGCTAGATTCACACCTGGCAACAAAATCTGCATAGCTGCACAGCTCGGTGCAGCAAGGGATGACCTTTCACCAGCTGAGGAGTTGGCCCCACGTTCATACAGAAGCAAAGGCTCAGAGGTCTGCTGTGCTTAATTTCAGAGCCACAGATCAGCACTTTGCTCCCAGGAGGAGTAAGGAAAACTGGCCTTGCATACTTAGAGCTGTGAGCACCGTTGGGAGGGCATGACTGCTTGGGACGTTGAGTGGAGAGGGAGAGCATGCACAGTCTCAAGTGTTTGCAGACATATAAAAGGAGATGTGAAAATCTCCAGAAATTCAATGGTTTCCAGTCAAGCATTTCTTAACACACCACCTTGAGTTTGATTATGAAGTAAACAGACTTGAATTTTGCACCAGAGATGTTATTTTTACTCTCCCACTGGTTTCAAGTGCCATCAAAACATGTCTCAGTGCTCTCTCTAATGATAATGATAAATGTAGTCGGGGGAAGAGATGTCACGAAAAACATACCAAAGATTTTTCTGAGGAGGAAAAAAAAAAATAAAGAGCCTCAACCCCACGCTGAACTTTATTTCAGAGGAGAAATTATGCTCAGTGGGAGGCAGAAAATGAAATACTTGCTGCCCTGCTGAGGCTCTGATAGACAGGGACCTGCAGGGGCTTGAAGGTTTGGCTATTTCCATGGGTTTCAGGCCAGACAAGGAAGGATTCTTGAGAAAAAGAAAACCAGAATATGAATAGTGAGTGCTGATTATCCATGGCTCAGTGAAATATCTGGCTGGATCTGAAATATCTCATCTCTGTGGCTAATGTTACACAGCAAAATAGCCAATAGAAGGTTGAAGAAACCTGCTTTTAAAAATGTGTGTGATATGGAAGGCCAATTAAAAATACTAGCTTTGCAGGGAGAGGGGAACTGGCAGTCATTTGCAGAGGCTGAAGAAGGGAGATCACACCTCTAGGATGCCATGGAGGAAAAGAAAGACTGCAGGGACCTCTGTAGCTGCCATGTACCTCTTAGGAGTGGGATGGGATAGGAAAAAGCCACTTAAATGTCATGAGCAAAAATACTCAAGATGGAAAGCAGTCAAGTCAACATCCTTGCTACAGAAGAGCATGGTTTGTTCAAGGACTGAAAAATGTGGCTTCTAGTCTCTTGGAAGTCATGCTGCCATCCACTGTCATTTTCACTACACTGCCACAAAAGCTCCGGGTGACTTCAAAAGCAGCAGGAGAGGATGAGGCAGTGTCCAAGCAGCTTATAGGAAGGAAGGCTGTCTGGTGGTTACTGGCTAGAAAAAATAGGATAGATGGGAAGGAGTCACCATGGACTTGGGGGAAGAGGGTTGGATGCATGCCAGAGCAGACGTGTAGATGAATGCACCTCACTGCCTCACTGCAGTAGTGGGGTTGACATTAGCCTCCAGAACCACCTTTGAGATTGTGGTGGCGGTGAAGGGAACACACGCTTCTTACCCTTCGTTCCCTCACACATCCCTTGGAAAAATCCTGTGCACTGGGCTTTGCACCAGTGGCCAGAAGTCGGTCCTAAAATAACTTTGTATGACTAAGGAGAGGAAGTGATCATTCCTGCATCCTTCCCACAGTGCTGAGAGACATTTGCTGTCCTTTCCCACAATGCAACACAGATTTGAAAGGTTTCTGTGGCAAATAGGGGTGAAAACATAGTGTCTCTATTCTGTGCCAGAGCCTGGACAGCAAGCACATGTCATGGTGTGCATGTGTGTGGGAAGGGGAGGAAGCCACCACGTAGCAGGGAACCAGATAAAAAGGAAAATAATTTCCTGTGGTCTGAAACTTGGATGGCCACCCTAGTGCTTCTGTTGCTACAACTTCAGGGAGCAACCTCACTGTTAATGGAATTGCATGGGGGGTAATTGCCAGATATGACTAACGTTCCTTGTGTGTTGTGGACTGACATAAATATATTGCAATGCTGTGTACAGCACAGAAGAACTCAGAAACAGGTCAACTGGTCAACTGTGAGCCTGTATTAAGTAGGCCAGATGGGGAGGAGATGCCTAGCTAGGAAATTGTTTCTTTAGAAACACAGTGTGTTTCCCACCTTTGCTTATTGATGAGAGGTTGAAGCATGGGTCCCTGCCCTTCCCTGCTCATTGTTAAGTGTTATTTCGAGCAGCTGCTTAACAAAATACCTGCAAGAGGCTGAAGGGGGAGGTTGTCTTGCCCACTCATCTACCCCTTACCGACACAGTTACTGTGTGACCCACGATTGTTAAGCTGGACCCCACAGAAGAGGGCAGTCCCCAAAGAGAGTGCTAGCAGTCTGCCATCCATTTGGCTGAGGGGAAGCAACTTACCAGTAGTTTCCTCTGGTGAAGGTTTCTGCGGGAATGCACCACGTATGTTTTTCTTCAGACTGACACTGTGGTTGGCTCTGGTCATCCACGGGTTCCCATGTTCTTCAAACGCCCTTGTTGGTTCAGCCTCCTTTTGGCACTGTGTTCCCAGGGTCTGTGCACCAGCACCAGTCCTGACACAATTCTGCATACACCTTCTTGTGAGTTTGAGCTGTGTGGTTTAATTATTTTCATAATGGATTATCAAGAGAACATATCACTGTTGATGAGGTACTCTTCAAATTTTAGATGTTAGTAAAATCTGCTTAAAATAGACAACTTTATCCTTGTTCTTTTTTTTAATGTCTGTCTCCTGCTGTAGTACTCATGTTGATTAATATGCTACTTGCAGAAATAAATACTCAGGCTAATGATACATGGAAAATCAAACCGCTTCTGCTCCTGCTTGCATTTCCTTTCAGTTTTGCAGTTTTAGAGAACAGCAAAAGCTGAAATAAAAGCTGAAACAAAACAGACTTCTGTGCTGGGAGGCCTTTACTGATCAAGGTGTGCATGGCAGTTACAAATCTGAGTTGTCTGGTGTTAAAGTTCTGTTGTCTGTTCCAAAATCCTGCTGGCCATTCCCTAGTTCCCTGGTGAAATTGCCAAAATCACAACGCAGGATGGCATGGAGGAAGGAACCCTCACAGTGGGAAAGTTGTGTGCTACATCAGCTGGCTGGGCTGGCTTGGCCTGGCCCTCTGTAACCAGGGGAGCCATGCTGTCTTGAATAAGATGCTTCCCCTCTTTATTTCCCATGCTCCCACCTCTCTGTCTAGAGCTTGGGGGTGGGAATTGCTTTTAATGGTGATTAAAATGGTGCTTGGAGCATAGGTGCTCTGGTAATATCAATGTAAATGATGATGGCGTTGCCTTACTGGATGAGGGCCTCTGCCAAGAAAAATCAACATAAAGCCCATTCCTTTTCTGCCTTCTGTTCCTTGGTTAGCAGAGACTTTTAAAATTGAGTGTGAGGTCAGATTGTGAGCTGGTTGCAATCAGTGGGCACTTTTCACTCCTTTCAGGAAGCTTTGGGCTAGACCTTTTGTGCATAATACAAGCTTCATGTTATCTGTGCCATTTCCTCATATGTTTGCATGTAATAAGGCTGCTGTTTCCCTCCCCTCTTTTTCTTTCCTTTTCAGGGGAGGAATGATCCAGACTTGTGAACAGTATCAATTTGTCCATCATGTCATGAGCTTGTACGGAAAACAGCTTTCTAGAGCAGCAGAAGAATAAGTGTTCATGATATTCCTAAAGGCTAAAACCAAGAGAACTTTTGACTGTATTCAGATATATTTCAGATCTGATGAGACACACATGGTAACCTGGCTGTCTTAGCTGGAAAGAAAGATATATTATTTTACTTTGATATTGCTTTTATGCTCTTGTTTGCATTGACATTTAAGAGCTGAGGTACACCTTGTCTTAAACATATGTGATAGGACATAATATTCACCAAAAAAAGGCTTATTTATACTGTAAATAAGAATAGTAGCTTCATTTGTTACAAAAGCAAGAAAAAAAATCAGAAAAAAATCCACTGTCTTCAGTTTGCTATTTTTAAAAGATCATTGCTAATATATCCAAATACAGTGTGAAACTTTTTGAATTGTCATGCTGAAATGTGCCGTATGTTGACTAAGCTTGAAAGTAACTTTTTGCCTCTTTTTGATTGTTTTTACATATAAAATTACCGAATACTGTGTATATTGTAAACCTTCTGAGCCTCTGCATTGAAAGATTCAAGTAGATTCATATTGAAATGATGTTTCACACATCATCTTTGCTTGTTTATTTTTTCTAAAGCAGTCCACCACCAGTGTTATCAGAACTAAGGGGAAAAAAAATAATTCAATGAGGTGAGTCAAATTCTTACCTCTGATTCTTACCCGCAATGTACCCCAGTATCATGACAGCTGGGTGAATATGAGGTGAGTAGTCAAAGTTAATCTGAACATGAATTCTTCATGCTTTACCTTTTCTTTGTCAATATTTTGGCATCTCAGTCTGCAACCAGATTTGATTTTTCTCTTTTTACATAGTCAGACCACAATTCAAATACAATTTCCCCTGAAATTTGGGGTTTGAAATCAGGTGAGGAATTTTGTGAGTTAAATTAATCTTTATTAAAAATGTAATAATGAAATCACTTGTATTCTATGAATTTAAACTGGTTTCAAAGCTTTGAGGGTGACAGGGTGCCCAGGGCTCATTAAAATTAACCCAAAGCCTAAAGGCAGCTTTAAAAAAAATCAGTCTGAACGTATTGGTATTTTGATAATGTGCCCTCAGAACAAATTTAGACAATCACTAGCCCATTCTAATCACTAGTCCATGCAGCAGTGTTTGCTTTTCAGTAATACAGACTGCTGCTGATGCTGTTCTTTTTAGACCTAAGTCAGGCTGTGAAGACTGTAGTTTGTGTTTAATGCTTAGAGGTAAGCACAGGTTTAAGTGCTTTATTGAGCAAAGAAAAATGGAGGTACACAGGACCCTTAACATGAAAGATGAGTGTTTTGTGAATAGAGGCTGTAATGATCTACTAAAAATATTTTTGCTTCTCTTTAATTGTAACAATAACCAAAACCCACTGCTTTTATTAGTGCAGGAGATTCTGAGAATTTACTGCACTTCCTAATCAGGAGAAGGTAAAGCAGCTCTCAGAACAATAAGGGCTGATCCTGCTCCCACTGAGGTTTTGCCATTGACGTCAGTAGGTGCAGGGTAGGGCCTGAAATGTTATGCCTACAACTTCATCACTGTGGGGAAAGTTTCCCAATATTTCAGTACACATCCTTTGTGTTTATTCTGTATCCATGAACCTGTAAAAATCCTGTCAGCAGGGTTTGCATGAATGTGTGGCAAAATGTGTTATCTTTAAACTACTTGATTTTATTGCTGTATTTAAAATATTTCCTTCAGTGAGAAACTAGCAGGAGGAACTGGCATTCTTTTTAAAAATACTGGTGGTAGTCATTAAATAGAGCAATAAACTTAAGCTTTTGAGCATAACATGACTGTTAGTTTTATGTAAACTTTGCTAGCTATATTCTCCCCACTTCTGCTGATTCTTTTGGAGGGGTAACACTATTCCATTTAAGCACTCCTTAGAAATAACAAAAGCATCACTGATGTTCTGCATAACATTGTAAGTGGAACTCCTTATAAATGTTTTCAGCTGTTCAGTGACCTTCAGTGTCAAAACTGACTCAGTGAATAAAATTACTTGTTCTGTCATCAGCTTCCTGTGCATCTGCTAAAAAATATTTGATGATTGATAGGAGTGTGCATATAGGAGCAAAGTGCAGTGTGTAAGTTGCCTCCTGTATGAGGAGAATTGCTTTATGGCAAACAAGGTATAAAAGGCTCTAAAATACTGACTTTGAGGTCCTTGTGCAAATCCTCAGCAGGTATTAGTTGGCAGTACTTCACTGACTTCAGTAGAACTGAATGATTTGTACTGATGAAGGAAATCTAGCCTGCTGTCCACTTCCATGCTGCATATGTGGAATGTCCTAAGAGAGTGATCATTGATAAAATCAGACTGGTTTGCATCAATTCACTAGTACAAAGCAGATGTCGGCCTAGTTGCCCAGTCTGGTTATGAGGGCTGCACTGCTGCCTTCTCACACCAGGCAAGAGCAGGCCACTTGGTCAGGATCAAAATATTCAAATGCCCCTTGAAGCATTATTTTATCTAAGAGATTTGGAGCTAATCCTCCTATTTACTCTTTGGCCTTACTGTAATTAACATACTTATCTCTCTGTCTCTCTCTCTTTCTTTTTTTTTGTAATAGAGTTTGAGGTCTGAAGGACCTTATATCAGCTCTTCTGATCTCTTCTGACGGCAGATGTAGTCTTAAGAAGTGCTTAGGATTAGCAGAAAGGAGCTCTGGCCATGCAGAAGCACTTGAGATGAGTGGGGCTGCTGCTTCTGTAATCAGTAGGATTGAAACTGAGGTGACAATAGGAACTAAGCTAAGCTATATGTCTTACTAGACTTCTCTTTTTACTGGGCACTCTATTAAAAGAAAATTCCTAGCACACTTCATCTGCTCTCTCCAGCTCTCCAGGCCTGTTTGTACCAGAGACTACAGCATTGATACCTGCAACACAGTTGTTTCCCAGAGGACTGAATCCCCCTCTCCAGGTGGGTTAGCATATAAGGTGGTCTTAGAAAGTGTATGTCTGTTGATTGGTGAGTTGTCAGGTTCTAGAAGCGGACCTGCACTATTACTTTTGATGTGTTCTTTCCCTGGAAACCATTTTAAACAAAAGGAAATGGTAAATTTTCAATTTGTTAATCGTAACTGTGTCTGCCTGCTTTTAACGTGAAACATGCTTTATATATTTGCTAGGGATTAAAAACAAAATGCTTTTACTGAGATACATTGGGGATAACCTTATTTCTTTTGCCAAGTCTGTAAATGTTTATTTGCTGATGTCTGTGAGAACGACTATCAACTTAGGATAATGTAGGGCAGCTCGGGAGTCCTACAAGAAAAAAATACTGCTCCATTCCAAAGCACGGAAGTATGTGAATGAAAGCAGTATTTGCAGCTTTGTGTGTAACAGACAGGCAGTCGAAAAACTGCATGCTCTAGACAACACAAGCATTGATTTCTAATGTGTCGGGGTGACTTTCACATATTCAGAGAGAGGTGAATTCCTTCTATTATACATAAGGAAAGAGAAGAGTCCACTCTCCTCTGAGTACTAATACAGATCAGGCTCCAGCACCTGAGTACAACAGATGCCACGTTCTTATGGCATGGTGTGAAAGTCACAGAAGGGGATACAATTAACTTCAGTGCAGAAGACCAGCCCAAACTTGTGTGCCATGTAATCCCCATCAGGGCAGAAGTGTCAGGTTTATTCAGTTGATAGCAACGCTGAATGCAGAGAAAGGCTAAATTATTTACTTAAAATTAAAAGCTGCGTCGGCACCAGAGCTGGCAATGTGGCTCAGAGCATTTAAGAAGATGAAGTCTTCTGAGGACTTGGATATTGCAATTCCTGGCCCCTTCTCTCCACTGGACCATGCTACTCAACTTCTGTGTTCCTATTGTTTCTTTATTTCTTATCTGCCTGTTGCTTCTTAGGCTTAAAATGGGGTTAAATAAGTCACCGTATTGCACTAGTTTTATCCCAATATGTTGGCAGACAGTGTTTTCCAGGGATCATCTCTTCCCTTGGAGAGAGCCTGACTTGCTAGATGCTCTTCAGAGGGCTCATCACTTTCTGCCTACCTTTTGATCTTGGTACATCTCAGAATTTTGGGGACAGAGAAGTCTGCGGTACTATACATCTTACTAGAGGCATTTCTCCTTTGGGAAATGGTAGTGTTTGTTTGAGTCAAAGTTTTCTTTTTATGTCTGACCTTAACTCCCCTAGTCCCAGTAGCAGCTGCAAGGTGTCTTCTTTCCTGTGAGAAGGCAAGGGCAACACTTGTCTTCAAGGATCAGTGAAAAATCCTGCGTAGATCCTTTTGCTCTTTCTCCTTTTCGTGCTTAGCTTGTTTGCCTCTGCAGTGGACACAAGGAAGACTGTCAGCAATTAAGTCAAAACTAACAAGGCACAACAGAACAACAGAAACCTCCTCTTGTAAATTAGCTTTGACTCCTTTTGTCTCAAAAGAAGGGAAACCAGATGTAATGGGTTTCACTACATCGACTGTTGTCTCCTTGGTCTTTAGGCTGGTGTGAGGAATATAGCAAGCAAACACTCAAGCATCGCAAAGGTCAAGGCAATGAAGAGATCATTCAGAGTCACGTATCCCCTTCCTGAGGCCTATGTCTGGCCGTGTGGCCAGATAAAACAATCCAAACTGAAAGATCTCCTCATCCATATGCATTGGTTTCCCCCACAGCAGTGTGTGCGTGTGTGTGTGTATGCACATGCCCACTCAACCTGCCAGAGTAGCTGGTGTAAGAACAGAAGCATGAGGGAGGATTCACGAGCACTGTCAAATGAACATGGAAAGGGACTGCCTGGTTTTTGAGTCAGTTTGGATAGGTGGGAGGAATTGGATTGGTTTGGCAGTGTTTTGGTTTTGTTGGGGAAAATGTGACTTCCAGCACAGATAACAGGTTTCTCTGTGTCTAAGTTGGGCTCTTGTTCCTGAATTAGAATATTGAAGAGGTAAGTGAAGGTTAGCTCCTTGATAGATTTATTAGACAAGCAATAAATAATACTTTATCTGCTTTACACCGTGACTGATCCTGTTTCCACACACTTTTGATTTGATAAATGCATCTGTGTTAATAAGAACACTAACCTCAAGAGAAGGGAGTACAGAGCCTCTCTCTTGCTGGAATCCTTCTTCAGTCTGTGAACTACAGCATGTGTTTATTTTGGCTGTGTGTATATGGTATTTTTTGCTTACTGGAAAAGTTGACAATGTTTCAACCTCTGCAGATATTTTTTTTTTTCTTGATTTTTTTGTTACATTTTTCACCTTCCTCTTTCTTTCCTAGACCAGCAGAAGTCATATTAAAATCATCAGGAAAGATGCCATATTCCTGCAAGGTTTTGCCATTGCTTTTTCCAGAGTTTACCCCTAGAATTATTCTTTTCAGCCTCTGGAAGCTGGCTAGATTTTGATGTTCTTGGTTTTCTAAGTTCCTGTGTTATGCAAAGCATAACCCAGGAGCTTCCTGCACTAGACTCCCTTTTCCTTTGAATTTAGCATAAATACAGAATAGAATTTCACATAAATACAGTCTGTTCCAAATGGAAATCAAATGTGGTCAGTTAAGACAAGCAGTTTATTGCCATTAGTTCAGCCATCATCGCAAGCAAGATACGTAGTTTGTGTCCTTCAGAATGGATAGACCTGTATACATGTAAAATGGCATCTTGTACCTGCACTATTTCAGCACTGCTGCTGTTAACACTTGTAAAGTAGAAGAGAGGTAAATGCACAAGCTGAGATTTGTAATTCATTCTCTTCTTGAGAAGCACCTTACTCACTGGGAATTAAGTCCTTCATATGAAGAAGGGTGACAGAATCTCAGACTTACTAAGGAGTAGAAAATCAATCAAAGATTGACTTCTGTAATCTTAAGTTAGAAAAAACAATTTTCTAACAAGCCTAGTCCCTGTTTGAGTAACTGAATGAACTGGCTGGACTTGGAAAGGGTGGAAAATGCTGCCTGTATAACTTAAAAATAAACAGAGCCAAAGCCTGGCTGTTTCACTGAGGTATGAAAGGAGCACTGGGGCCTGACTTAAACACCAAAGCAGGATTTGTTGCCTGTTTAACTTTTTGAAACCTGGACCCACATATTTTGTTTTTAACATGAAAAACAAGACTGGTAAGTTGTTTATTACAAAGTTTTGAAATGGTGTCACAATCATTCATAAGAAAACCTCGGATTGAGGAGGTAATGTTTACTTTTAAATAAAAAGGTATCCTTTTGGCCTGCAGAAGGTTTATTCCTTTTAGCCTCATAGGTGAAGTTTTACCATCCCGTTTTTCTAAGAATGAGAAACTGCTGAAGCCAGTGCAAAAGATGTAACAACATAGCCCACAAGAGGCCAGTATGTATTTAAATTCTGAACTACTCAAAGCTGTGTTTGTCCAGTGTAAAGGGATGCAGGCATCTTCCTAGGAATGCAACAATCTGCAGGAGTTCATGTGAGCTGAGGGACATGCAAGGGTCAGTGATGGTCCTGAGAGCTCCTGTCTCTTAGTAGAAATGATCATTCTTAAGAATGTCCTAATACTTTGTTCTGTGGTTGTGGGCAGGTAGGATGGAAATTGGCTGTGTGAGATCAGTAGCTCTAGTCTCATATCTGCTTTGATTTTTTATTTCCTTCCCTTTCCAAGAAAGGAACCTTGTGAAGTACCATTCTGGAGTGTAACTCCTTGAAACAATTAAAACCAGGAGTAGAAGAGCTGCAAAGAGTATGATGTAGGGAAGACTCAGATGCCTACAAAAGCATTAGTCAGACTTGTCCAACTCTGTCTTCTGTAACTGAAACTAAAATTACTGTTTGCTGGCACCAAGCCTTTGTTGTGTGTACTTCGGTGGTACTGACAGGTCTTTTCTTGAGATCTGGTTTACTTTGTAAATGTGTGCTGATTCTGTTAATAGCAGCCGTAGTAAATGCAGTGTGATAGCCACACTTTATGGGATGAGTGGAGTTAATCTCTCTGCAGAGTGTCTGTGGGTTGATTCATGGTGTCTGTGTTCCTATGTACAGAGGGTTGTCTGCATTGTCATTTTGTTTTCTTTCTTGACCACAGCCAAGGTTCGGGCAAGTTGAGTCGTAGTGATGGGCATTAACAGACAATGTCACATCCTTCGAGTGCAACCTTTTGGGCTCTGGAAGTCAGTTCCAGTCTCATCAAGAAACAGGAAATCATGTCATCTGAGGTGGCTTCCAAAAACTCATCGCCTACTATTGAGGGCAATTTTTCTAACAGAGTGCTTGCTTTCCTGACTGAAGGATAACAAAAGATAATAGCCAAGCAGTTCAGAAAAAAATCTGTTTCTTCCCAGTTATTTCTGCTCTTTAACTGCCTCAAGCTACTAGATCTTAACCAATAACATTTTCATGTACAAAAAGTATGTGGCCAAGGATGAAAATTTTGATCAGGCAAAAGAAATAAGAGTAAAGGGAATTCCATTTTTAGGGTGAAAGGAGGAACTGTTAAAATGGTGAGTTGGCTTTTAAACCATGTCACTGTGAGCTTTATAGGATTTGAGAATCCAGATAAATCCAAAGGTATGCAGAGAGTTGTGCAGTGGAGCAGGTGAGTAAAGGAGCATGCTATATGCCTTTTCATTTTAACACTTTGTGCTACTGGTGTGGATTTGCCCCATAGTGACTGAGGGCAAAACGCACTATTTCCTAGGGAATTTGGGATTAGAGTAACCTCTCATCTCTTCCTAACCAGCCCCAATCATTGCTGTCACCAACACCAATGCAAGAGTGAAAGGGTGAGAACAGAGCAGTGAGAGAGGGTGGTAAGGGGGGGAACACCTTTGAGTAGACCAGGCAAAAGCAAGAGTGATCTCTTTCTCTTGGCTTCTTGGTTTGTAGAAAAGACTTTAAAAATTGTATGTCTGATAAAATTTCTGAGCAGAAAAGGAAAGACGTAGCAGAGTCTAGAGATGCATGATATCCCTATGTGATTTTAGAGGGTATATGATATAGTCTAGGGTAGAGACTCTTCACTTTTCTTCTGTGCATAAAGAGTAAGAGAACATTTGTCTCTTAAACGGGCAGGCTGGAGACAAAGGCCGGTTCTGCAAGGAGACAAGGATGTATATATTCTGATAAGGAAAATGATCTCCTTGGGAGGATGCCCAAAACAGAGCACTTTTGGCATAGCTATAATTTCTGCTGGCAACAAAACAAAGTCTCAAGGTCATATGGTCTTAACATTGTCTTCCCTGTGGACTGTATCTTCTAGGTTGCAGTGCATAATTATAGCTTTATCATTTGTGCCCCCAAATTTTGGAAAGACTTGTGTCTTGGATTGATTTCCTTCTGCCCCAAGATCCTTCAGCAGCACACAACTGTGTCAGAGACTACCATTCCTTACTGGATCTGTACTTCCAAGTAAAATCTTTTAAAACTAGGGAGCTGCAATTTCTAGATGACTAGTATTTGTCCCTCAAGGACTAGAATTGAATAGTCCCTTTTCTCCAAACTGCCTTCCATACTGGGACCAGTCTTGGTGTAGCTATAGGCAGCCGAGGCCACACTGGAAACAGGTTATAAACAGGTTATATGGTGACAGAATTTTTTCCCATAGTATGGCCACATGGCTTCCCTCGGTGATGCACGCCAAGCTGACAGAAGGTGGGCTGCATCTGTGTGGTGGGGTTTGCCTTCTGCTGAGCGGGAAGTGAAGATTGTTGTTACTCTCAAAGGCCAGCATCTACTATTGCAAGACTACAGGTATTGCCCCTGCACCAGCCATAGCCTTTGATGAGAAACATTTTGTCTTGCTTTGATTACCTTGGCTTAACGCAACCTCCTGACTGTCTTGGCACCGCAGTGAGGACAATGACGCAGTGCCCAGCCACATCCACTGAGAGCAGGGTGTGCACAGGCCCTCGTAGAGTTCACATATCCCACTGTATGTGACACACTTGGGAGAGCTGGGGAGGTCCTTGATTGAGGAAAAGTGCAATAAAATAGTCTAAATGAATAAGAAGGAATAATCCAAGCTGGTAGTAGGGTTTCTGCTGATTTTCCTGGTGTAGCACAGAGACCTCTTGCTATTAACCACAGAAAAACTATCTCTGTTCCAGTGAGGCATTTTCATGGAGCTGTTAGAAATTTCTGAGTACTCAGGGCCAGCTCTTACCAGTCAGTCTGGCTGGAAAAAAAAATACCGTTTTACCTGAACTGAAGAACTAGTTCTTATAAAATCAAACCGAATGGCTTCATCATGATAGAAAAATGCAGCTTTTTGGAGCCTTCTGAAACAAACAGTTTGAAGGAAGAGGATTTGTCTTAAACTATGGGCATTTGTCTAGACATAAGGCATAAGCAGCACTCAGGAGCTTAGTACAACTTGTGCAGAACAAAGTAAGTCCTAATGGGCCTTTTCATACATCCAGTTTTGATACCTTTTTTTAACGATCTCTAACATCAAAGCACCTTGCAGTACTCATGTGCAGCAAGGCAGACCAATTTTCCATTGTGTAGATGACAAGAGAGGTACAGAGAGTGCAAATTACTTGCCCAAAATCCTGCAGAAAGGTGAAAGAAGCAAGGAATTAGTCAGCAGTCTCCTATGGACAGCTAGCACTCTTCCTTCTGCACAAACCTTTCTCTCCCAAGAGTTTCAACTGACTGGGGTAATTCTCTATGTGTCTTTATGTTTCAGGGCTTCCTGTTGTATCCACCCTTTCCCACTCCTGATAAATAAATGCTTCAAACAGTACCTCTCTGTTCTGCTTTATTAATGTATTTTTTTCCCAACCAAAGAAGTTGTTTCTAAGAAGTCTTCTGCCTTATTGGAATCTTTTAGCATGGTGACATGTTCCTTTGAGATCCTTGCTGGAGAAAGCACTCCTGAATTTGTGGAAAAACCTTGTCTACTGACAACACCTGAGGGTGAGTAACAACAATTTCTGGTGAAACAGTTCATTACCTAGTACATGCCAACAACTGACTGCATTTTCAGGTGCTCTTACATATATTCACCCACCTCATGTGAGGAAATCTTGTGTCATCTTCTACAACTGGAAGAGAGGTACACAAACACAGGTGCAAACTGAAGTTACCTATACCCATCCTCACTGTTTTTACAGATTTGTCATGGTTCAGTCAAAATCAGTGGAAAAGCTGCTATTCATTTTTGCTGCTGGAAACTTGTCCTTATTGATTTAAATAAAACACTTCTTGTTTATGCAAAACTCATGATTGAATGATTTAGCTGAGACTGGAAGAATGTGACCTTTAATGCATAAGTAAATAAGCCTTTCCATCATGTATAATCTTCCATGTGACTGATCTGTGACTGTCTAAAGTGACAGAAAGATCATATGAGTCTTCATTATCTGTCACAAAAAATCAGAAATTATTCCTGTCAGTGTGCGGAACACTGCTAATGAAGAAATTTCATTCACAGAATGGTGATGAATGTAAAGCTGTAATAAGTACAGTAAGTAAAGTAAAGCAAGGTTAATTTAGTCTCCATAAAGCAGACAGGAAAAGAAACCATGCATTTAAAATAAACCCAAACAGAGAAAGTGGGTAGTAAGCCCCTGTTCCATTTCACTCATTCATTCATTAATTCCACTATTTCTTCTTGAATTTTAGGAGACAAAGTAATATTCTGAGCTAAAGTTAAAAGTAAACCAAAGCCTAATGTAATACGGAAAAGGGAGAATGGGTACCAATAGAAGAAAGAAGGATCCAGAATGTTTTTGACAGTATTTTTAAGAAGTATGTAGTAAGGTAACACACCTTTTTTTCCTTGCCACTAGCTTTTTTTTTTTTTTTTAATTATTCTCACAATAAAAACTGTAAAAAAGCTTAAGCACTGTAGTATTCCTCAGCAGCAATAAAAATGTCTCCGTTTGCAGTCAGCCTACTGCAATAGTGCTACTTTCAAATACTGTTATATGTTTTTAGGGTAGTGATTCTGTTCAACAGATGATCATCAGAGCAGGAGCCATTATTTTTGTTACTTCGTTTTGTATTTAGCATAGTGAAGCCCTAATGCCTCTTGAGTGTCATTCAGGCAAAACCAATGCTAAATCTTAATAATTCATAATACTATTCAGGACATGTTTTCCAGTTCAGCCCTGTTTAATTTGTGATGTCCCATGGCTGCAGAAGTTCTGCCCTTCTGTTCTTTTTCTTGCTTCCCTTGTTGTGTCCCTTTCTCTGCTCTTTCCTTAATTCTTAGTCCATTCTAATTCACCTCTTCTCTCAGGCAGTCCTTCGTTTACAAGTCTGCCAGCCAGGGCAGGTCAAACTCTCTTTTTCTGTTCCAACAGTACTCTAGAATCTTAAATCCAACAGCTTCCATTCACCTTCCTTCGTATTGCTTATGCAGTTCAGGAGCGATACTTCCAGTGCAGAGCACAGAAGAAATGTGGCTTAATTTTTCTGCCTTAGGGCAAGAATGGTCCTGATCCAAATTACATCACTGTCAGTGGGAACACTTCTGTGTTTCTGGGGCTTTGGGAAGGCTGTGAGGGATTTTTAAGGAGGAGGGAGCATGGGGTTTGGCCTCAAAATTTCTGCCCTCAGAGATCCTGGATTTTCAGCAAGTCAATTCTGTTAGTGATTGAAAATACTGATTTAAACACAGATAAATAGAGGAATCCACTCATACATTTGCCATATCCACTCATCACCACCCCAACCTATGTGGAGCATTTGCTTACTGCTTTCTCTGGTTTTTTTTCTTTCCAATTTGAATGCTTCTCCTGAGATGATACAGATAACTACAAGTGTATGGTGTCCAATACTCAAGCTGATGCTATCTACACGGTATCCTTGATCACAAGTAAAGGTAAGCTCTAGGGGTATGGCTTGACTAGTGACTAGACCACTTACTAACAACTAAGATTGGAAGAATTTTTAAGTTAGACAAAATGGAGAGTCTTTGCAGTGCAGATTTTCTGCAAGTAGAGTGGGGTGAAGCAGGATAAAAGAATCTACCCTCTGCTGACTTTAAACTGAGTACTGTGTGTCTTGCCCTCTGTGTCCGCTGCACAAAACAAACATGTTTACAAAGGTGCAAGCAGTGCTTGTTATGAGGAAGAGCCTTTGTATTCCCTGAGAAAAAATGATATGAAGTATATGGGAATGAACTATATGCTGTGCATCACCGGTGTGAATGGGAAAGACCTAGGCATGTACAGTCCTCTTGTGGCTGGTGAGAAACTCCCTGCTACGCTGAGAGTGATAGGTAGTCTTTGTTCTCAGACACATGAGGTTCTGTGTACAATGTCAGCACCTGCAGGCAAACATTTGAGGTTCAAAACCAGCAGACCAAACTGTGACCTACTTTCTTTTCTTAAACGTCTTTGCAACATTCATGATTCACTGGACTTTTTAGGCTCAAACATAAATCTAACATCGTACAAGTCATAAACCAACCCACAATTACCAGAGCACCCATGTGAAAACACCTTCCACGGAGTAGCAAATTTCAGTTTGAAGCCTAGTTATTACACATAATAAGCCAAATTCTCCACTGACGTCAGTGTGGCAGGGGTGTGAGTCACTACTGAATTTGGACCAGTTTTAGTGGAAAAGATGGGAATGATAAAATGCACCTTGCCACTGTTCTTTTAGTGGAAGTGAACTTTGCTCAAGCAATGTTACAGGACTTGGGAGCAAGGGGATGGGCCTGGGCATAATGAGAATGATGTTTTTTTCATCTGCATATGCTTCCTACAACCAGCCAAATGTGTGCTTGCTGCTTAAAAGAAAACCAACCACATTATATACAGCAAACTTGCTTTAAAGCAATACGAAGCAAAAGTAATGCTGCCACCTGCCTTACCTTTTATTGCAGTAGGACCATCTCTTAAAGATAATCTTTGTTTTAAGTACCATTTAAAAACTAAAACATTTGTCTTTTTGAAAAAGCCCTTAGCAGGACTTGAGCACGGGCTATTTGGTAGTGTGGTAGATTATTTTACTTAAGCCAAATAGCGATCCTGTGCCAGGCACTGCAGCACTCTCAACAGATAATGCAGAAGGATGTCAGTCTTCCTTCAGCTTGCCAGATGGTTCCAGGTATGCTTGTAGATGTCATCTGCAGCTGCTTGAAACCATTTACTTTACAGTGACCTACAGTAAAGGAGAGGAAAAAAAAAGCAGAGCTAAGACAGAAGAACTGAACAGAAAAGCAGCGTGTCTGTTGGTAACCAGCTTTGTAGGATTACATGCAACTCTTACTGAATATTATGAACCATAGTTAGCTTAATTTCCACTCAAGTTGAAGGAATGAATTGATCTTTCTTCTGCCACTCAAGAAAGAAAGCAAAATTACTTCACTGACATCTTGCTATTTAGTGTAGGAAATCGGAGATCAGGAACTAAAAAAACAGAATGAATGTTTATCTTTTAGGTATTTTAACATATGGGCCCCTAGCTCCCGACAGAACTGAAACTGCTGGAAGTGACTGAAAGACAGACAGTACTGTTTGAAATCCACCTGCCAAAGAAAGTTCAAAAGTTCAGTTAGAAGTTTAATGGGAAAGAGTAGAAGTGGCACAATAAGTATGACATGATCACATCTGATGATGGATTGGCCCACACTGTAAAAACAAAGGGTGTTCAGTCCAGTGACTGTAAAGAATTCAGTGTTGAGACTGGAGATGTAGTGCAGAACACTCTTCATTGATCATAATTAATGCAAAGTAAGCATCTTTGGGCAGTGGGTGGATTAAGAGCAAGATAGCAGGGTTTGAGCTGCCAAATCATAAAGCCAAAACACAAAATCCCAGAGTTTGGGCTGAGAAAACTGGAAGCTGCAGTCTCATAAAGCTACTCTGTGGATGGTTAAGCAGAGGAGCATCAAGACCTCCTTTTCACACTGGAATTAATGACCCGAGCCTGGAACCTTTCCTGCACAGGAGCCCACGTTATATCCTGCAAAGGCAAAGCCGTTTGTTTTGATTTATTAGGTGCTTGCTGCTATGTGCCATTTTTTCTTGCCAACACCTTCCCCTTTCCCAGGGGTTCCAATTCAGTTTGTCAGCAATCTTAAGAACACCCAAGTGAAAAAGAAGGGACAGGCCTGCCTGGAGTATGTGCTGAATTCTGAAGATGTCACCCTGAAGGGGATGAAGAATGGACGAGTGATTGAGAGGTCTCCTAAGAACAGCATGAAGCAAAGAGAGCAGAGTTTATCTATCATTAATGCTGCTGAGCTGAGCGACTCAGGAGATTGCACAGTGAACATAGCCTACGCAAGACAGTGACCCTAATGAGTAGTACAGCAGTGCCAGTGTAACTGTGGAAGGTAAGTGTGAATGGCTGGAGAGGAAGAGGAGGAGGAATTTCACTGTCTTTACGCTGTTCTTCGGTGAACTCTGCAGAGGAACAGTGCCGTTTTGCTACAGCAGCTAGAAAACTGATGTGCAATAACATTGCTGTGCAGCCTATTTATTGTTTAACATGGAATAAATCATTAGTCTGTGCCCCCTTTTGGTAGCATGAAGGTAATAATTTAAGGACTTCACTTTGCTGTATAAAGTGGTGGAAGCATAAAGCAGTATATCTTCCATTTAAGTCCCTGCACGTTACCTAAAGAGCCTAGTAAAGTGTACTGTGTTTTTTATTTTAATCAGGGTCGTCCTAATGAATTCTTATTCTCATTCTTCAGAACAACCCATGGGACGTTTGACTGCAGTCTGCTGAGGACCAGCAGCACAACGTGAGGCTGGTAAATATTTAATATCACATTTCTTTTGTGAATTAATTTGCAGTAGCATTACTGATAATGTAAACTTAAGTCTGTGATCCTTACAGAAAGACACAAGGATAAGAGCAAGAAGAAAAGTTGGAAAGCTTAGCTTCGTGCTCTCAGATTGGGCTGGAGAAGAATTTCAGAGTTAGGATGTGGATTTTAGTGGCCATTAGTATTTGAGATTATTTCTGTTAGATGTGGACCAGCTTTGAAGTATGCCCAGGTGCCTTCCATGAAAAGTACAACATTTTAAGACCATTTTAAAATTAACTGCATGGAAGGAGGATAAAATTATACTAGTGTATCTTTTACCACAGGTTCAGGAAAAACTGAATATTCAGTTGGTAGGATGGTGTGAAGGAAACTTAGGGGGCCAAAAGAAGCTCGGTTGTAAGATCAGGCAGATTTTCTCCCATGGAAGATTGATCTGCCATAGTGCCCACTGCTCACAGATGTGTCTATGAGACTGGTCTCTTCCTAATAGTCCTGCATTTTCTGTGTCAGTCAATGCCCCGCAAGCCCTGTCCTGGTGTACTGGCTTGGGTGGAGGTCGCTCCATTTGTTGCATTTTGGCCATGTATTTCTCATTTTGTTTTCCCAAATCAGGCCAGAAGGGAGCTGTTTTCCAATGGCATCCCCAACCCTGGGCTTCCCCGGTGTGCAGCCTGGCAAGAGGATTCTGTGGTCCCGGGTTGAGCATGGCTGGCAGTGGGCAAGGAAGTCCTGGCTCCTGCAGGATGGGTGCCAGGCCTGGCATGTGAGTGCAGGGGCCTTCTCTGACCGTTCCTGTGGCACAAGTAACCTGGAAAGCCGTGGCTGAGCTGCCTCTGACTCCTGTGCACACTGGAATTGCAGTCTGGTGCCTCAGTTACACATTCATCATTCCCCATGTAGAGTTCAGGTTCAGATACAACTATTATGTAGGCAGTAGAGGAAGTGTTCAGCTGGTTTGACAGCTCCTCTGGGCCAGCTGAGGGTCTGGAGCAGTGTCAAGAGGCTGTTTTCTGCTTCAGCTTTTGGGTTCCGATAGCTGTTTTCCCTCCAGTGAACATGCATAAAGGGCAAAACCCACTTAGGAACAGCCTTTCTCCATCCCCCTTTCTTCTCAGGATGTCCAATTTACTAAATTGCTTTCATCCTGAGGGCCTGTCCATTTTGTTAGGAGGTCTCCCTGCCATTAAATACCCCTATTGTGTTTGAAGTGCTCAGTTGACAATCATTCTGCGGAGTTTGTCTCTTCACATGCTTCCACTGGCATTTCTTCCAGAGACATTGGGAACCATGAAGAATATGTATGTGACATTCATGATCTCACCGGGGATCCTGTCGAGCTCTGTGTTGTCCTGAGTGATGTGAAAGTGGAATAAATATGGCTCAGGGATGGCAAATAGGTACAATGAACTGTGGTATCATCAGTATAATGAAAGACTGCAAAACCCTAATGGGAAGTTTTCTCGAAATAGCTACTGTGGGACTTGGCCTGATGTTAATAAAGGGCTTCTGACTAAGGACTGATGGACAGATCAGACAAGAACAGACCTAATCTTTCCCAGTCTACTAGTTTCAGTCTTACTAAGTTTTGGCTTTGGATCTTGGCTTTTTCAAAATTTTCCTTCCCAGTCTCCTGTAAAGATGCTTTTACGCTTGCTAACCCATTTTCTCAGCCTGCAGACTTGCATTCTTTCCCACCAGGTTGGCTTCTCATCACTTGCCCTTCTCCCTCTCCCAGTCTCTGATTTTCAGAGTAATCAGTAAATGTATCCTTTGCATGCTAATACACACCCTTTGTTACATGCCCTGGGGCTCATCTAGGCAGATGCACAGGTCACACTGTCCACATAATACTGAATTTGTTTTGTCCATAGATCACAGAGCAATGTACCAGAGTAGGAACTAGAAATCCTGATCACTTAGCCATCTTGGAGCAGGAGCCTCTGATCAGAGGATTCAGGGACAGGGTTGGAAATGGTGTATGTTGCAGTGTTGACTGTTTTCTGCCTCAATCTCCTTGTCAGATTACAGACACGAAAAGGATGTGGAGAGTGAAGCAGGGAGCCATCCACAAATTCATCACTGACAGCAAGGGAGAGGAGTGTGAAAGGAGGTAGACATTCAGAGCCAGGGGGGCAGAGAGCAGAGCAACAGTTGCCGTTGGAGGTAGCCACCCCATCTCCTTGCTGCTCTTTACCATGTGTACACAAACACTTCCAGAATCACCAGGTCTCCTTACCTGGGCTCGTACTGTTGTATAGGCTACCTATGTGCATGAGCAAAGCCTCTTCTTTCTGCTGCTTTGTTCCCTGTGGGGAGAAAACTGAACAGTCGTACCGGTTGATTTTAAGTGACTAAGCCTGGGTTTCTGTGTTTATAAATCAGTGATCAAGAATTTTGGCCTGAGCCTTTACTTCAAACGTTGTCATGAGCAACAAGAAAAACACGTTTTCTGCAATTATATATAGAACTATATAAATACGTATATAAATTACTCAGCTCTTGGCAGCCAGATGGAGCTTGAGAGGCGCCTGCAGCCGGCGATCGGCCCCGCCGTGGGCGCTGCATCCAGGCTCCCGGGGATACAGCTGCCCGGGCAGCGGGGTGCGCAGCACGGCGGCTGCTGCGGCTGCAACACGGAATGTTTGTCATGCCTGTATTGCAGTAAAACCCATCCACAGCAAAGCCTTGGTAAAGGGAGGGTTGATTTTTCCCGCATTTGAAAATATTTTTGAATGCCTTTTTATGACTTTCAAAAAGAAGATTATGATTTCTAGACGTACATGTGTGACTAAAATAAAAGGAAAACCACCAAATATCTTTAGGAACCTGGCTATTTTTCTTTATTGTGTGCAGGACATTTTTATCATTTTCCCATATTACTCTGTAACAAATAAGGGAGCATTTTCTTTACAAGCAGTACCTAACTTTGATTCTACTATCTTTATCATGATCATAGATGTATATCCCAATGTGGTATCACCAACTTGAAGTAATATATTTAATTTTTCATCTGAAACTTTGCATTTTTGTCCAAACTTCCTATGGATTAGGGAAGGCATTTCTGAGCCACTCTGTTATGTCATCACAGAAAGAGCTCATTTTCAGAGTAAGTAGAAGGATTTAAATGTTTCAACATTTGAAATGACAAAGGGAAGTAGATGGCAAAGAAAGACTCCGTAGAAAAAGTTGTGGCCATGAATAAACCTAAACATACAAGTTACCCTCCTTGACTTCTTGCTATACATACATACATACATACATATTTATACACACATATAACACATACACGCAATTTAGAGTCAATGAATTCTGATTGCACTGTGCTAATTTAATTTTCTTCTGTGTAGAGCCTCTGAGACAGGTGTCTCAGCCTGAAGGTGTAGATGCCAGGAAAGAGGCTGTCGCCATCACTTGGAACTCCCCAGCTCAGGATGGAGTCTCCCCTGTGCAAGGTTTTATCATAGAAAAAAGGAAGAAGGGCAGCAAACTTTGTATCCCAATCACCAAGGAACCAGTCCAAGGTGAGACCAAGATTATTATCTGTTTTGTGTAGGCAGAAGGAAAGTTAGATAAGCTTTGAATGCAAAAAGAAAGTGGAGTATTGATTAATCAAGGAAAATTTCGTCATGACATCTAGCAAGATACACATTTTGACATATGCTATTCAAAGTGAATTTTTCAGCCCTCAGATAGAAAAGGCTTGATACCCACAAGCAACAATGAGAGGGCAGAACCCTCAGCATCTCTGAAAGTCACACCTATGGATTTGGGTGCCTAATTTCAAGCATCTATATTTTACATTTCTACTTACCTAAATTTAACTGCTTTTGCCTGACTTGGACCAGAAGTAAATTAAACAAGTGACTGATTTTGTTGTATCCATCAGATAGCAACCATATGATCCATGCTTAGCACAGCTTGGAGCACACATGGGAGTGTTCCCATCAGCAGCAGCATCTGACTAACGAGACTTTTGCTCTTCTGTTAATATTTTGGTTCCTTTTTGGATTCTTTCATCTGTCTCATTCAAAATGTTGGACTTCCATATTAATTAAGTTACAATCAATAACACTGTCCAAAAATATACTCCTTAAGGCACCAACATTATTCATGGCAAATAATGGTAACACTTTTTAAGGCAAATTATTCAATTCCTGAGGGTTTTTTTGAAAATTTAATGGAGGTTTAACCTTGCTTGAAGGCTAGATTGTGGAAGGCTTGGCCACTCTCTTGAGTTTGTTACATCATGGGAAATCCCATTGAAGTCAGTAGAGCAAGACATGCAGATATTTTTCCCCAGCACGTATGATTATACCAGGCTATAGATCATAATCTAGTGGAAAGCAAATTATGCATTTTTCTTCTTCTTATATGGATCAAAATTCCATCTCCTCCTTAGGGAGAGAGATATGAAAATGGAGCGGGCCATTGGAGAGTAAAGGTTTGACCTAGTTAAAGGGCTTCCTGAACCCCTGAAATTTATACTGTTCTCCATCAGTCTGCAAGCTGAAGTTTCTTCTTGGTTTATCTCAGTCCAAAAGCAATTAAAAAAAAAAAATTTAGTGACCACCTGGGGACACTTTTATGGGTGATTAGAGAGTTGTGTAATTGAAACGTGTTTCTGGATACCAGATTCAAAGGGGGTGGTTTTCTGGAGAACACGGAATGAGTTCTGTGTGATAGCTGTGAACTGTCCAGGCCCTGGACTTCTCAGCGTGCCCTCAACCTCTCATTGCAAAGAATCCCATCAGTATGTTTCTTTCACTGTTGAATGTCTAGTTTTCCTAAACATGTATGTGATCACCAGATCTATGCATTTATGACTGAAGTCTGAGGGAGTGTGACAGTTCCAGCCTGGCTGAATGTAATGGACTGCATTATGTTTACAGCTTAACTAAAGGTTAAGGAAGGCCTTAATACTGTTGGTTATAAATGTAATTATATTTTAAGTGACTGAAAGTGTGATATTATTCACTTAAAATGTGTAACTATTAAGGGGACAGAAAGAGATTCCCACCTGGGGGGAACTGAGTATATGCAAACAGTGGAGATCAGCATATTAAAGGTGCTCTGAGGTGTAGATACCTTTAGTGCTTAATGTACACATAGAGATTGCCAAAGGCCCAAACATAAAACTACAAAAATAATTTCTCATACATTTAACTATGTTCCTTTCATCAGTCCCCCATCAACCCTTTCAAAAAAAGAGAAAACTCTTGTGGAATTCATGAAAGTGGCTTACATTCTTTTATTTTAATACTGGATTTTTAGTAGTAAAGAATCTGTGCCTCATTCTAGACTGATCAAAATCACAGACAAGCTCCAAACTATTATGGTAGCCTCATAAATGATGAAATGGGCAAGTTTTGTTTTACACCAGTCACAGAGAATTCTTACTCTATATGATCATATAACTAAAGCATTTTAAAAACAAAAGGCTGTCAGAGGCCATCAATAAATAGCTTAAACTATTTTTGTAATAGATACAGGAGTGGGCCTTAGTAGCTGCCAATAATTTTGAAAAAAACCTGACCAAATATGGAAGCTGATATAGCTAAAAATGAGAGAATTCTGTGTAGTAAATGAGAGTCTTGAGGTTAAATAGTTACTTAGATGGGAAAGCATTCAGGTTCCTTTACATCAGAAGACAACATGAAACCAATTTAAAGCCAGAAGCTATGATTCTTCTCCTATTTGAAGACTTGCATTATTTTGCATTAGACCTAGGCAAATATGTACTGTCTATATGCACCATAGTCCTTATGACCCTGTGTGCTCATATGCATGTTCTCTGTAAAAGCCATTAGCATCAAATTTGTCATGGCATACTGCAGTGGTTGGCTTTTTTGGTTTGGGGTGAGGGGGAGGGTCATTGCATTTGGCTGAGACTGTCAAAGCAGAACATGGATTTGGATACACAGCTCCCTATTCTTATGATTAAACACATACGGATATTCTTAAATATTTCATCTTTTGCTGCTCTTAATATATTATGGAGATCTAACTAGACTGCTGCAAGATGGACAAAAGAGCAAAAAGTAAGATTTATATGTTCAAAAATAACTATTAATTAGGGATACTATAATCTTTGTCAAATAAACTTGAAGAACATTAACAGGATCTTGCAAGCCAATAAACAAATCACTAATCCAGGCAGTGCAGATAGCACCCGACCACTTTACACAGGACTGTAAGAGGGATTTATTAATCAAGAAGAGACGCAAGGCACTCAAAGCCATACAAGACACGTAGAAAATGTACTGCTAGGAAGCTGGGAAGAGACAGAAGTAAATCTTTAATGCTAGCCACCTCTCCCAAACACATGGAGATTGAGCGGTGGTCAGTGTTCATAGAAGGTGCCCTTTCCAAGCTGAATTCAGATGGTCCCATGTCAAATGTTGTGAGGATTTTTCTTAAATGGCCAACCTTGGCACAGGGTCCACATGGATGTGCCCTGTTAGGATGATACTTACTGACACTAACCATTGTAAAGTTGCTAACAGCAGGTGATAATGGAATCTCGTCAAACAAGTTGCTTTTCAGCCATGCTAACCTGCCTTATCAGAGTCCTGGATGACAAACATCCTGATCTTATCACCTCAAGGCTGAGAAACCAGACCCTGTGGCTCACAACCAAACAGGACTAGATAACCAAAACCAATTTGCTAATAGTTGATCTGCACTGTGCATGCTCTAAAGAAGGATTCATCCAAAGGACATTCCAGAATGACCTTGGAAGACCACCAAAGACCCCAGGGAAGACCCTAAGAGACTGCATAATGACTATGTAAATGTGATGGTTGGTTCCAGGAAATGTAATGAATATGTAGCATCCTTCTGGGAAATCTGATGCATATTATGTACAGGGTGATAAAAGCTTTGACTGAGGTAGCATACGGCATGCACAGTAGGTGGAAGGATCCCCCATGCATCCGGTGCTGCAAGACAGAATGCCTGCCTTATAAACTTCAAAACTGAGTTTTAGAGGGTTTTGTTGTGACCGGACTTTACAGTATCAAGGAACTGCATTGTTTTGTTGGACAGAATTTGCTGTGTTTATTAAGTCTCCTTTTAGAGTAAAACCTTGCAAGTTTGGCATCTTGAAATAGGAACAGCTCTGTATTCACATACGCAAGCATAGGCCTGTGGGTACAATAGTGTGTCACAGCTCTCCTGCCATCACAAACCCTCCAGGACTGCTGAAGGTGGTGGATTTTTCCAACTACAGGATTTCCTTAGCCTGGCAGGAGCCAGACCAGGGAGATGTGTTGTCAGGATATATACTAGAGATGTCAGCTGAGGACACCAAGGAATGGACAAAATGCACCAAGATCCTTATCTCTAGTACCATTTACACTGGGGGAGGCTTGCAGGAGAGACAAATACTTCTGAACCTGAGCTGTGAACGAGGCTGATAGGGGGAAACAATGGAGTTACAGGAAGGAATTCTGGTAATGCCACCTTCAGGTAAAACATGCAGTATTCATGCAGATGGAATCCCATCTATCAGCTGTTACTTTCTCTTGTTTTTAACTTATACCACGTTTTGTAAAGGGTTATCAACTTCATCTTGCACAAAAAAAAAACATTTAACATCACAGCTCTGCTGCTTTTTGCTGAGTTTTCAGCGGTGCTCAGAGGAAATGGAGAGCATCACAAGCTGTGCAGTCCTTGAGCCAAATTAAAATCATTCTGCCGTCCTTGCTGAGCTGTCCCCTGAATGAGTATGTCAGGTATAATGGCAGTTGTTTCTTCCACCATCTGACTTTTCGCATCACATCTCACATATGATTAGAGAGGTCACTGCTGGAAGATTCTCTGTTTCCTGCCATGGATACTGTAGTCTGAGTATGGGTTAGAAGGGTAGATAATACAGCAAATCATGACGTTTGAAATACCCATTTGTGGTAAATATGGTGGTACTGAGGCAGGATTGTAATTCTTTCAAGTGCTCAGTTTGAATAGGATGAACAGTCAAGTGCCAGCATGCTAAAGTTGAATTAATGTTATCAGAGGTTACTCATCATTCAAAGACACTAATTATGTATTAAGAATGAAGGTATCATGACCTGCCGTGAAATCCCTAGAGAGCTTACTATTTGAGGTAGCAAAGTATTTAAATGTTTATCATTTAGGACTTAGATTGCTTAATTATTAATTGGGAAATTCAGACTTTTTATGTCTGAGGTACTCCCAGGTAACAAAGCATGGTGCTGACTGCCCTCAGTAGCAGTAACGCCAGCAAGAAGAGATGCATGATATGGGAGTCATGTCATGTAGCTCTGATTCCCATAGAGTAGGAGGACATTCAGCACTGACTGAGGAAGTTCCAGAAGGCAACATCCAGGTGACTGATACAAAAAATTGTTGGTTTTCTTCTCAGTCTCCACTTTGGAAGTACACAACCTGTCCATGCAGCGTGGCTTGGTTACCACATCTCCACATAGAGAAACATCAAAAAATCACAGAGAGACTGCAGGGTCGAGACAAACTTCTCTCATGTGGAATGGCAACATGCAATACTGTACTGAAGAGTGTGAAAAGACCTGTAAGAAACACAGACATTATATAAAATTGCTTGTGGCAGAAGGTGGACAGTAAAAATCATCTAATGAGGCATTAAAGCTGCCTCTTCTTTTTCTTTGTTCTCATTCACTTTTTACATCAACTATTTTTAAATCTTCCAGTTCCACCTGCCCCACCTGAAATTGTCCTGGCTAGGTGCTCATCACTAAGCTGTTGATGGCTGAGGCATTAATGTTTCTCTTCTGGTGGCACAGGTATTAGGAAAAGAGCTGGCAACATTGCAACCCTTACACAAACTGTCTTCTAAAACAGTTACGTTTCTTCCGCTCTCCAGGCACGTGACCCAACAGACTGAAGAATGGCTTTACTTTTCTGTGCAATCTCTCACTCTTTTAATTCTTTAATTTCTCTCTCCCTCTGTCTGTTTTTCTTTTATCCCTCCCATAGGTTCAATCTGACTGTGAGGCTGAAGAGCCACATGGTGGTTTGTGCTGGGACAGCACCATGCATTCAAACGTTTTTCCCTGTGAGATTCTGTGTTGTGTCCTGTCAGAGGAGAAATCCTGCAGTTGGTTTTCTTGGGCATCTGGTTAAATACAGCTGCAGGATTATGGAAGCTGTAGTTGTCCTTTGGCCTTTATCACATGAGCTGTCACTTTGGATTAAAAGAAATTGACTGTTGAAGAAAACTCATGCAGTGCTTTATGTTCATCAAGTCTGGTATAACTGCTCACTCTTATGGCTGGTCTTTTTATAAGCCTCCCTGTGGCGGTAAGGTAGAGGGACTTCTGTGCACACAAGTTTGTCAGCTGCTCAATTCAGTCCTCTGCAGCTGGAGCAGCTGTGTTCAGCATACCCTAAAACATTGGGGAAACTCTCTGATTCATCATGAGAAGCAGAATTTTTCAAGCATGCAACTACATTTCGTGCTAACTGAATTGAAATCATTCTTGATTAAACCTTGAGTGACCTAGGGGAGTGACTAGGTTGCAAAGACAACACTTGAGGTCCCAACACTGTCCTTTCTGAGGTATGATTTCTATTAACATGGTTGTTGAGCTCATTTCTGTAGAGGCTAAGGTCAATTTCTGTGCTTTCCTTCTTTATAAGCCTAGACTATTCCACAAGCAGAATCAGCTCCAGTGTAGTAATGTATCTCTGTCTAATTTGTACAAGTTTATCTGTATCACACCAGCTGTTTTCCCTCAGCTTTCAAGATGATCAAGCTAATGAACTGTAGCATAAGGTTTACATGGCATCTCCCAAGCCAAGCCAACTCTATGCACTTTGCTGGGGACAAAGCCTGCTGCTGCCTTTACAGCTTGAAGAAATCTCTAGGATTGTTGTCCTTGAAACATTTTTCTGTCGGGCTGATCATGTACAAGTGGCTCCTGTAGACACAGATATCCTTTCTGTGCTCAAAGATGTAGTTTGTTTCTGTTGCCACATAAGTCAGGAAGCAGAACCTTATAGCTGCACGTTTGTCTTGGCCAGGGCTCCCACCACCACCGGTGAGGTGGCAGAAAGAAGGCATACCAGCAAGAAGGAGGGCAAGAACCATTCCCAGTCCTTATCCACAGCACCAAGCAATTTGTTTCTGAGCTGTACCAGATCATCCTTGAGAGCAGTTATGGAGAAGCCCTTTACAACACTCAAATGCAAGTTGCAGGTACGGTATAGCACAAACTTGAGCATCTCGGTTACCTCTGGGTATCAACAGGAGGTATTCCTCTGCTGACAGAAATGTCACGCAACTGTTGCATCAATACTAGAGTTGGGAAGGTTCGTTTTTTTCTTGAAAAAAACAATCCCAATCATACACACCTCTTATCCAAAAAATGTCACAGGAGAGATCCAAAATGTTATGTTTATGGTCAAGAGGAGAGACTCCCTGTTCAGAAAAGATTTTCTTACCTCTTGTCACTGTGTTTCCCAAGTCCCACCTTCACGCTAGCTCAGAGCCAGTTAGCTGAGCCAAGCAGTGAGCAGCATGGTTCAGAGCTGAGGAATAAGGAAGGTGCTGCTGGGGCTTTGCTCACTCTGTCCAGTGTGGAGGGAAAGGGTGAGGCAGTTATTGCTCCAGACATCCCCAAATGCTGCCTTGTGCTTCCTGCCATTATTTGATCAGGCAAATCCCCATAACAGCACTAACACAGCTGTCTGTCCCCTCAGCAGTCTGGTGACATCATTTACATTGCAAGTGGGTCTATGACAGCCAAGCAGAGGCAGGCTGGCTTGCTCCTTAGAGAGACTCCTATTACTAAAATGATCTGCTGGGGGTCAGGGACCTTTTCAGTGTATTTTGTACTTGTTTTCTCTTCAGAGTGCTTTTTGAAGATAACAGACTTATTTTTTCGTCAGAAGGGAGTTACATGCACAGGGAAAATTGGTTCTCAGGTTGCTCAGGGTAGAAGAAATTAAGGAAAGGAGTACTTTCTTAGATACACAAGGACTTTGGAAGGGAGGAGCTGAAGTGAAAATGTTTTGCCCCATAAAAGGACAGAGGAAGGGTCCAAAACAGAAGAAACCAATACTTAAATGTGTTCATTAATTCTTAAATTTCCCCTGACCACGTACTAATCTTGCAGCTTATTGAAGAAGTCTCAAACACTGTGACCCTAAATCATAGCTCAGATGTAGAAGATGACTGGCAGACTGATGATGGTGTCCTGAAATGTGATGTCAGAACCACCACATGGTTTACAGCATCAGAGAATGTCTACAGCAATAAGTACTCTGACACAAGCCTGCTCCCAGGGAGGAAATACTTCCGAGTCATTGCCTGCAATCACACTGGGGACACTGACCCCGTGGATTCATAGGAGCAGTGGTACATCTCCAAAGACAGAGGTAAGCACAGAAGTTCATGACAGTGCTAGAGGAACATGGCTGCAAGACTGTGGACTAAGATCAGCCTCCCTCTGTGGCCTTGGGTATATCACTAACTTCTTCCACACCTCAGGTCGCCACCCAGGGAACAGACACAAGAATACCTCCTGTCCTATCCCATCCATTTGTTGGCAACCTCTTCAGGACCAGGCTTCCTTTTATTACATGTATATGTAGCACATTGCACAGCAGTTCATACAGATGCTGTTTAAAATACAATTCAAGACAGTAGGGGCCATCTGTGTGCAGGGAGGGTGATATTATCATGTCTTGACATAACAGAAGATTGGCATTACAAGTCACTTGTATTGTAGCCTATTTCCACTCTAACTGGGATTTGTTTCCTAGATGAAAAGCAAAAAAAGTCTGTCATGTAGGAGACTGTGTGACAGTCTGTCTGGGCCAGAAGCTGTAAAAAGTCCCGCAAAGCACATTAAATTAACACTTAGAGGTCATCCCATCAGGTAAACACCTTCTCCTTTGTTCAGTCGCTCCCTGTTCGGGCCTGATCAGTAACAAAGGTGTCTCATTAGCAGTACTCCCAAACAAAACTGAACATGCTCATCAAATCAAAATGGTAAGTGATCCTTCTGCCCACTCTGGGGCAAAACAGAATGCAGTAACTCTGAATAATAAAATCCACACCAAATTTTTTTGCTTGGCCTATGGCTGTGATAATAAACCATATAGTGATATAAGCCGAACTATATATTAACGTATATTACCAGACTATGCATATATTTCTTCAGAAGCCTATGTACATGCTGCTCCGAGTATAATTTCATTAAGAGTAATGGGCAATGCATTAAAATAACAGAGTAAGTAGTACACTAAAATGAGCAATCAGATGTCAAACTGTGTATATGTATTTAACAATCAGCCTTCCTTGATCGATGTAACTAGACCATAGGTATGTTACTTTGGCTACATGTGCAGCTGAGAAAGAGCACTTCAGTTACATGACTGTAGTTGTGTTCTTGTATGGAGTAATCTAGGCCTGGATTTTACGAAGTCTGAAATAACTTCAGTAACTTCTGTGTATGTGGATGAGTATAAAAGAGTAGTAAATGGAGAAAAGTGAGGCTAGTTGTGCCTTGCAGTGCATGCCCTTGAACATTTCCCTGCTAGCAGCCTGCCTGTCTTCAGGCAGGACAGCAGGACACAAGCAGATGTGAACTGATTTCCTATTCGTCATTATACATGGCAAATCACAAGGTTTATTTGCACAGAACTGAGAGATGATAGAAAAACTCTGAAGGATAAGGAGGGGATAAGCTGTTTTCTGAGAATAAGATCTCATAAGAGAATTTTGCCATACAGTGCTACATTTAGGATCCAGGGGATTTACCTGATGAGACCCCATGCCAATGCAAAAGGAGATAATAAGGACCTCAAGAAATGTGTTTAAATACAGGCTGAAAATGGAATATTTACAGTGGACACTGGTGATTAAATTGTACATGCAGCTCCCCTTGATTCCCCCCGAGCATTCTGTAGACTATTAATGCCTCAGAGCAACACCAGCAGAACAATATCCCTTCCTTTATAAGATCACCTGCCTTGGTTTATAATTGAGTATAATTTAATCATGCATTTCTAAAGTGCCTTGGGAGCTAAATATCCAAAAGCACTTAACAATTTAATGGCATTAGTGAGAGAAGGCATCAATATATCCCAATGGAACAAAAACCTGAGACCTTATTTACACAACAAGAAACTAATTAATTGCTTGCTTACAGTTGCATAGCAGATTAATGGGAGAATTAGATTTCTGATTCCTTCCTCTCTTGCTTTTCAGTTTGTATTTGTTTACATGTTGAGATAGGTATGCTGGTCAGATGCTGAGTGTAATGTGGTGTATTGTTCATTCTTCCTCCTCCCTGAGTTTTCCCTGGTGGGAAAGGCAGCCCAGGTCATGAAATGTCATTCCCAAGCTCTTTGCATTGTACTCGTGCACAGGAAGACTCTCTGTCGTGATGGTGCTGGCTCTGTGTTTGTGTGTGCAACAGCACAGTGCAGAGCAGCCCGGAGCGACTGTCTTCATCAGAGTGTTTGGACTTCAAGACAAGTGTCCCAGGAAGGCCTGTGCTTCCCATTTCATCGCCCCACTGAAGAACCACAGCATGAGTCATGGCAGTGACTGTGCCTCAAGCTGTGCTTTCATCAGCAGCCTCCACCCAACAGTGAACCTGTGGAAGGGCGATATTAGCATCACATCCCAGTCTTAAGTGGTGGTTCAACTCCACAAGTAGCACCTGTCTGCTTACTATCCCTACAACTTGCAGCTGCAAGCTGATCATCTGTGGTCAGTCAGATTTGCAGCCACTGTTGGAGGTGATTCGGTCCAGGTTGTGTAACCACAGATATCATGTCTGAGTATAGTTCATGCCTTGTTATTTTCCAGGGCAAGTGCACTTACTGGGATTGGCACTGTGGATCACACTTCTCTGGGCCAGTTTGGCTCTCATCCTTGTCCACAGAGACTGCTCAGTCTGTAGGTACTGCAGCTGGAGCTGCAAGGGCCACATTGTAAGAACTTACCTTCATATCCAAAAATTAGCCTGACTTTGTCTTCCTCTGAAGTCACCAAGACCTGTCTTCAGCTGCTTGAAGGCATTATTGGGTCCTTAAAATGGCATATTTTGGCTAGCAGGTCTTGTGAACTTCCTAGATGGATCAAAAGCAAATATGGCCATTTCTCAGTCTGTACCCAGGCCTACCCTGCACCTCTGGCATACTTAGCACCTCCAAGCAGTCAGCTGATGTATTCTGACAACAGCTTTCGTGCTTTTTTTGCAGATACCGCAGACACTGCATGGGGTAAATCTGTTCTCCTCCTTTGTGAAATGGCAGGATTTTGCCAACATTGTATGAAAGCTAGTAAAAAATGCCAAGACACTAAAAGGAAGAAAATCAGACATTTCATATCCCCCTCTCCCTTCCCTGTTTTTTTCCATGCTGGAAGATCCCACCTGGTGAAGCTTTAAATCAGGTTGTAACACACAGCTTGGTTCCAGCTGGCTCAAATTGGTCCTGTGAGACTGAGCACTCCCAGGTGCATGGGTTGAGGTTTTACTAACAGTAACCCACTACCCACACGTGGTTTCCCCATGTCACCATGCCCAAACTTGGAGCTTGCAGAGTGATCTTACAATATGTACAGCAGTGCCTTGAAACAGCTGTGTCCTGTGCATTTCACCAGCCCCTGGTAAGCTCACACTGCTTATGATTAACTAGAGAGCCTTCAAGGTTAAGCATTTGAGAGCAAGCATTTGCCATCCTTTTGTCTGTCATGACCTTGAAGTATGGTTCCTCCATTCTCCCTTTCTAGAGCAGGGCCCTGGTGCTTCCGGCCCTGTTGGCGTTCTCTCAAATGGAACAGGCACAGCTTGAAATGAAACTGATACAGCACCAATAACGAGGGACTATATTTGGAAAGATCTTTTAAGGTTATTTTTGTCTCTGATCATTGCTTCTGGACAGCCTGCTGCCAACTGCTGAGCCACCCCCCTACACCCCACCCCTGCCTTTGGGTCTCTCTGCTAATGCAGAAGTAGTGGGTCAAGGAGGCCAAGGATGTGCACACCCATTTTCTGCTCTGATTTTCAAGCAATCTCATCTGTCTTTGAGTGTAGGATGCTTGCAACATTTCTTTCACCAAAGCCAGCCCCTGAAAGCAATTCTTTCAGGGAGGCAGGCAGGCCCGGGCCTGAGGGCCACGAGGACGGCTCTCTGTCCCCCCAGAGATCCGATCACTGACCTGCTGCCTTCCCACACACAGCGCGTCGCAGAGAGGGCTGCTACAATACGAACGTACTTCTTCAAAGTTATTCAAAGCAGAGCTGGCTGAGGACCCAGGCTTCTGAAAGCACTGCGTGGTTGAGGTGCTAATTTATATTCAGGTTCCTTAATGGGAGCCTATTTCTGAGGCTCCTCCTTACCTAGACCTGGGCAGTCTCTTGGGGGTGGGGGAGCAGGAGTCAGACTGTAAAACTGACTTTAGGGGATAGGGAATTCACGTCAAATTGAGCTTAACTGCAGGTTTATTTTGCATCTCAGGAGCGATATTCTTGGCTGATTTTAGTTCAGGAAGAATGGGAAGTTACTGCCTGCAGTCAGACACTGTAGGCCAGAGGACACTGTACTGCATATGAAAGCACTTTTTTAGGCCAGGAGCTCCTTCAGACCAGGGCTTGGAAGACTTTCTTTAGGGATGTACTTTAGAGACTCTCAATAGTTTTTATTTGGTGACAGGCTGTCCTAAGGGAAGACAGTAAGGAGTGATCTAAGGGATGAGCAAATCTTGTGATTTGAATAGCTGTGCAGGAGTCTCAGTTGCTGATTTCTGTGCTGATTCCATGGGAGCTAAACCTCTGTTTCTCAAATACCTGTTTCCACTCCTCTAAATGTATTGTGGCAGGTTGGCCCTGGCTGAACACCAAGTGCCCACCAAAGCTGCTCTATCACTCTCCTCCTCGGTTGGACAGGGGAGAAAAAAATTAACTAAAGTCTCATGGGTTGAGATAAGGACAGGGAGAGATCATTCACCAATTATGTCACGGGCAAAATAGACTTGACTTGGAGAAATTAACTTAATGTATTACCAATCAAATCAGAGTATGATAATGAGAAATAAAATCAAATCTTAAAACACATTCCCCACACCCCTTCCTTCTTCCCAGGCTTAACTTTACCCCCACTTTTCTCTACCTCCTCCCCCACAGCAGCACAGGAGGATGGGGATGGGGGCTGCAGTCAGTTCATCACCCGTTGTCTCTGCTGCTCCTTCCTCCTCAGGGGGAGGACTCCTCACACTCTTGCCCTGCTCCAGCGTGGGCTCCCTCCCACAGGAGACAGCTCTCCACGCACTTCTCCCATGTGAGTCCTTCCCACGGGGCTGCAGCTCTTCAGGAACAGGCTGCTCCAGTGTGGGTTCCCCATGGGGTCACAGACTCCTTTGCCCTGCTCTGGCGTGGGGTTCTCCCTGGGCTGCAGGTGGAGATCTGCTCCCCCATGGACCTCCCTGGGTGCAGGGCACAGCCTGCCTCCCCACGGTCCTCACCACGGGCTGCAGGGGAATCTGCTCCGGTGCCTGGAGCACCTCCTGCCCCTTCTTCTCCACTGACCTGGGTGTCTGCAGAGTTGTTGCTCTCACATATTCTCACTCCTCTCTCTGGCTGCAGTTGCCCAGTAACTTTTTCCCCTCCTTACACACGTTATCCCAGAGGCGCTACCACCGTCGCTGACGGGCTCGGCCTCGGCCAGCGGTGGGTCCCTCTTGGAGCCGGCTGGCATCGGCTCTATGGGACATGGGGGAAGCTTCCAGCAGCTTCTCACAGAAACCATCCCTGCAGCCCCCTGCTACCAAAGCCTTGCTACGCAAACCCAATACAGGTATGCTCTTCTATCTCTCTTCTTTAAGGAAGGACACTTGCATTCTTGTACTTAGCCATGTTAACAGTTTTAGCCTTTATCTTAATATTTGCAAAAACAAATAGGGCATTGTTCCAGCTCTGTGACACACAGCAACATCTTTCCTGCTGTAGCTCAGAAGGGGTGAATCTCCCTTAGGCTGGAAGATGGCGCATTGCAGCAAACACAAAGCCTATTAGACCCAAAGTGACTTATTCAGAACAGTGATGAACTGAGCAAGGGGAAATGAGAATGAAAACGAGAACTCCCTAAAGTTGAACTGTTCACTTCCTATGAAAACTGTGACCAGACAACTTTATCATTTATGCAGTGGAAAGCTTTATAAAGCTTTTTAACCAGAACTTTGAGAGACTTGCACTCAAAACATAGGGTTGGTTGCAGTAATTATGGCACTTACTTTTTTTTTTAATTTCTTTCTTAAGAAAAAAATGATAAAAGCATCCTGGACACAGTGACAGAAAGTTTGCAGAAGTCAAAACTCAAGATGTAGTTAGTGGAACTAGATCTGCCTCATCCAGCATGCAGAACAGCATTGCTGTGGCCGTGTACTTTGTCTGTTTGCGTGGCTCAGAATGCAACTGCCCTTGGCTTCTGTAGTGGTCGGTTAAACCAAGTGGCTGAGCGGGGCTTCCTCAGCAGGGACATTACTGATGTTTCTGTCTTCCTTCCCTCTGAGTGGTTTTGGACAGCAGGGTACATGTCAGAGGTGATATTTCTAATGCCATCTGCTAATGTATCTTAATGGTAATAAAAGGAGTCCAAGACTGCAGTTCTCTCTCTTACATATCAGGTTGCTTCCACACTGATCAATGAGAATCCTGCTTCTGACATCAGGAGGAGATGAGCTCTGTCTCCGTGTCCCCAGATAGCCCAGCAGGACCTCCATGATGATCAACGCTTCATTATGTCAGCTTGTGTATAAACATAGAGTAAGTCATAAATCTGAAGTACTTCAGTCCTTGCAATACCAAGAAAGTAAATACAGTCTGCAGCTTTGCAAATGAGGGAGTCACTTTGTGAAAGAGCTGGCCATAGAAGGTAAAACTGGAGATCCAGAAGGGTCCAGGAACTTCACTGCTCATGACCAAGACTAGATAAGGAATTACAGAATATCTGAACCATGGAAGGATCAACAGATTGACAGATAGATAAATATGCACACATACGCATTGGTGCTGGTTATTTTAATTTAGAGTGAATTCTTCCAGGAGCCAGCTGTGGAACAAAAGCATAACAGTGGCCAGCCACAGACACACACTCAGTCTGAGAATATTTTGCCACCTTTGTTCCAGCTGTAGCTAGGAAGGAGGTGTGAGGAAACAGGATACTCCTCCCAACAGGCCTTAGTTTTTTAAAGGAATTGTAAAAGACCAAATTAAACAAAGAGGGAAGAAGCACCCACTTTTTCCTGCCGTTAACCCTTTTAGGCTGCTTTGAAAAGAATTTGGTAGTAGTTCTGCCTGGTACTGATTCTTTCTCACATCAGGAACCACTCCACTTCAGAAGGGGAGTATGAAGGCGTCTCTGTTAAGCCTGTGAGCATATCCATTTAATAGACTGGGAGCAATTACACACTCTGTGTTTCTATCCTATAAATCCTTGAAACCTGTTCCACTGGTGACACATGGCCTGGTTCAGGATTAATGAAAAGAAGTATCTGTGCCACTTCATCAAACAGCTGAAGAAACTGGTATTAGAGCTCCAACCAGAGCAAAATGTCCATACTATCCTACCTTTTCCTCCTGGAAATTTTTCTGCGGTGGGGGTGGAGAGGCACTTGGCCATTTGTCTGGGACTTCTGGGCAGCGAGCAGCCTTCCCAGAGCAATCCTTTGCAAGGAGCTGCCTTCTCCTTGGAAGGGTGGACAAATGGCCATTGTATGTGGGACTGGCGGTAGCAGCGAGGGGCGAGCGTGCTCCTGGGCTCGCATCCCAGGGCACCCGGGATGTGCTGTAACAGGAGCCAGGTGCCGTCATCGCGGTGGCGCCTGGTCACTTTGTGTTGGACGGGCTCTGTGGGGTGCAGGTGGCTGCGTTTCAGGGTTCCCCAGACAGGAGTAGTGCAGCCAGCTGTGGCAGTGTCAGGCAGCTTCAGTGGGGCGCTGGGTAGCTCCAGGGCAGAGCCACACGGCTGATGGGCATAACAGTGGCACAAAACTGCCTGCCACAGAGGTCCAGCTGGCTCTATACTCCATGCCGAAACTGTCACAGGAACAGAAAACGAGCAAGAAGACATTGTATCTGCACAGTAAAAATACCCAGTAAATTAATATTTTTAATTGCTGTTACACACCGAAGAAATGAGGAAAAAAAGTACATTCCAAACATAGAATTAAAATAGTAAAATCAGCATAAAAATATGTTAAGAAAAGATCCCAGATCAAGTGGCCATACTGCATGTGGTGACCTTTACAATCACGGCAGAGGAAGTAAGTGCTAGTGACTTTCAGACGTGGCAAAATGCTTGACTCCCCAGGGGAGAGCAGCTGCTTCATTCAGATCTTTCAGTGCACTCTGCCCGGAATGCGTGGAGGGGCTGGAGCGAGAGGCTCGCGCGGGTACAAGACACAAAGATTGGTGTTCAGGACAGACCAGCCAGCCTGCAGTCTCAGCCAGGCAGAACTACTGCTTACACAATGGTATTTGCTTTTTCCTTCCTTGTTTGGTTGGTTCGTTTGGGGTTTCTTGGGATTTTTATTTAACAAAGCATCCAGTTCTGCTGGCCTGACCCTGCCCGCACTGTAGGCTCCGAGGTGGATTAGGAGCAAGGCCTGCTCCAGCAGGAGCCTGCACATGCGAGGTCCAGATACGTGTGTCTGTGCTGATTCAGCACTGTCACCCAACAGGCTGGCTTTGCTTTCTTGCTTTTTAGCTGTCAGGAAAAGTTTACTTCCCGATGCTCTGTCTTTTGACTGATCCGAATCGGCCCAGTCGTGCTCCCACTGCAGCCTCAGTGGCTTGGCCCCAGCACCCCTCTTATATGAGACTGGCCTTGTGCCTCGGCCTCACTGCTGAGCTGTCACACCACTCCAGTAGCTCATCCTACAGCAGCATAGTGTCACCACAGAAACAATACAAGCCACAGAAGTTTTGGCAATCCTGCCAACTGGCCACCTTTTTTCATTTGTAGTCTATCTAGAGTTGTACATTTTTATTCTTTACAATAAGAGCAAAAATAAAATAACATTAAGAAAATTTCCTCCAAACTAAGAAAACTAAAACCCATCAAACATTTTAAAGAAACCATAAAAATTTGCATTGTGTTTGCTTCTGAGTTCATATTAAGATAAGATTTTACTGCAGCTGCTTCAGAATTATGGTCCATTTCACATGTTCACAGCTCACCTTCCTTGGTGTGTAATTCCTTGCCTTCATTTGTGTTTGTACAGCAGCTAGTTCTACCAGAACTAAGTAGTTTCTAGCTGTGGTCCAGATTTGAAATCAGTGAACCATGTCATTTTTATACTACTTGAGAACATGGTGATGGTTCAGAGCTGTATTTCTAGATGAACTTTTGTTCTGGGCCCTAGGACTGGTAGTACAAGCACATCCTTTGCTACAGAACCTGCTATTTCTTTGATTCGGGTAAAAAGGAAGTAATTCAAGAAGGAAGTGCCAACCTTATTGATTCCATCAAGGCCTTCCCTCTCTGTTGATTTTAAAGCCAGTAAAACTTACAATCACAAAAATTGAACATCCCTTTGCAAGTTGTCTCATGAAACCTAGCTGACCTTCTGCAGAATGAAGGTTGAATAGAATGACTTCATTTTCTGTTCCAGTCTTTTCAACAGCCATAGCAGGCTGTGAGAGCACTGTGTTTTGGCTGGATTAGGTTTATTCTAGCTAACAGTCAGGGATAAGACCAGACTGCAAAATTTGGATACAAGGTTCATGTCTAAGAATTTGGTTGAGGCTTTTAGAAGAACTAAAGACCATTTGCAAAACTGAAATTCACAAAACTGAAGTTCAGACTTTTAAGCTAAACCCTCCTCAGAGTTCAAGTGCAGCTGAGCCTATCCTGTTAACCAGTACAAATAAATATTTTACATTTGCTTTCCATCTGATGCAAATTGAAAAGGCAGTCACACATTCCATGCTTTAAGAGAAGTCCTGCAGATCCCTAAAAGCATTTCAACCCTAAGGTAGGATAATTCTTGGGACTTATATAGCACTTTACATCTTCAAAGCGCTGTATGAACATTAATCCTCACAGCTTCTTTGTGAGGTAGGTAAGTGTTAATATCCTCATTTTAGAAATGGGGTGAGGGTGTGGTCCCCTGCCATTGTAACCTGGCATAGCACTGGCCCTCATACACATGTGCCTTTTCGCACCAGATGAGGACCTGGCCCCAGAAAATTTAAGTAACTTGACTTACCCAAGGCCACAAAAGGAGCAAGCATGGATAAAAGGCAGGAGAAGTACCCAGGAGGACTTCTGGCATGAGAAGTTGGCAACTCCCCGTCCTCTTCCAGGAATGCAGTTATGATGCCTCTGCTTAAAAGAGCCCCTGTATGCATCCAGAAACCAAGCAAAGAGAAAGAGGCACCTGCCACTGAGCTTTACAGCTGCTGTTTGCTTTGATCTGCTTCTTCCAGAACAGCTCCCAAAATTACCATGATAGCAAGCTGAAAACATACAGGTGTTATGTCAAACTACGGGACTGGAAAACTTTGAAAAGCCACTAAAAATTCTGCAAAGTTTGTCCTGGGACTTTTATATCCTTGTGTAAAAATATATCTATTTCCTCCACTGATTACAGCATGAAACCTTCAGCAATCTGCTTAAAAGCCATGTTAGAGTAATTCTTAAACCAACCAGTCTTAAAGTTGCCTCATTATGGAGTAAGAAGCCAAGCATTAAGCACAAGCACATTTTTCTTGGTAGAGTAGGAGTAAAGCTGTTATAACCCTCTGGATTTGGTCTTCTCAACCCACCATTTCTACACCAGCTCCACCCTGCTGACATCAGTGTGACTGGCACAGCCCAGAAGCATCACTAGCATTTAAAAAACAGTTTCAATTAGCATTGCTGCTTTGACTTCATTGGGAGTTCTGTGTGAGGAGGATCTATCTACAGAAAGAGATACGAGGCTGAAAGAAATGTGCTGCATCTTTTGTATGTCCAAATAAGGAGCCGAAGGATCTCCAAGAGGGCGATAACCACAGAAAGGAAAGAGAGCAAAAGTAATTGGACCATGTGTTTAACCTCAAGTAATCATAGACAGGAATTGTGTTTGAACACAGCAGTGTGAAAAGAAAGCCTCTGTACTTAGCAAGCAAAGGAGCTGATACCGCTGGGGTGCTTCATTCCCTCTGTAATGTCCCTGGGCCAAAGACCAGGTGCTTCTCAAAGACTACCCCTGAAAAGGAGAAGAATGGATCAAACCTCGCAGTTTTACAGTGCAGAGAGAACAGTAAGGTCCACAAAGGCAGTGCCACAGACAGTCACGTCACTCCCACTTCTTGTTTACTCCCTTTCAAAGTGAAGATTGCCCTCGCTGGGGTAGAGGGTACAGTTGTAATCCCAATAAAAGGTATTTATTAGACTGTCAGCAACTGATTAGTGTTTCTCAGGGTTTATGAAACTCAAAATTGTGTCAAATCAGTGTCCACAGCAGCTGATCTCTTCCCAGCAGGAAAGAGCCTCCAGGAAAATGGTCTCGTTCAAGTAATATGGATTAAAAGGAGAAATGCAGAGCAGGAGAGAGATTTTGAAAAGTCAGAGCCTTCACTGGTGAACCTCTGAGCCAGCCAGGGCTCTCCCTGACTTTGTGTGCTGAGCGCTCTGCCTCATGCTCCTGGGAAGGCTGAAGCCGTTGCAGCACTGGGACAGAGCCAGCGTGGCTGGCAGGACGTGTCCCAGCGAGGGAGCAACAGCCCACTTGGGCTGCAGCTGATTCTGCTGGCCGGGCTAGAGCCACCCAGAGAGCTCTGCCACCAGAAACTGCACCTCTGATGGCCAGCTGAGAGGACAGGCCTCCTAATAACACTTCAAAGATCCTTTTCTGCAAGTATCCGGTGGCTGATGGTGGAGCAGGGTAACAGAGCAAGCCAAGATGAAAAAGGATGCAGAAAAGCAACTTGGCCATCTTCGGGAAGTTGAAGACTATTCATTTCTAGAGGGGAAAAAAAAAGCTAATCGAAATACTGACTTTTAAATAAAGCTTACTTTATCACACGTGCATTTTCCTCAAAGCAAGGGGAAGCTCAGGGTGTGGGAGGCTTCTCTGAAGAACTGCCAGCTAAGGACTGAATGTGCTGGACTGACTCCCTTTACAAGGAGATGTAAATCAGACTGAAATGTGCTGTTTTCTCACATGCTGAGAGGATACGGGGTTCACCCCAAGTGCTTAGATTTCCTCTTAGCTGGGTCAGTCTGTTGCAGGAAGAGATTTGCAAACAGTCAAGCTGAGTAACAGCAGGTGACATCCGCAGAGAGTTACACTGCAGGGTTCAGGCTGCGGCCAGGAGATAAGCGGTGCTGATGAATGAAGATGTTTATGGCTCTAAATCCCCTTAGCAGTTTACTCCAGGCAGGCCCCAGTGAATGAATACTGACAATATTACACAACAGCATGAAAGGGAAGACATTACACAGGGCTGGGCTATTTACAATGCTTTCCCTCTCAATAATGCAGCTGACCTTTCTGATCTCTGAAAAGCAGCAGATGACTCCACAGGGTCAGGATGGTTAACCTAGATTTTTGTAATACTGGCTGAATTTGCACTAATGCAGAAGTTGTGGGGAGGCAATGCCTGTTCCCCACCCAGTCCCACCACGCGAGGCCGGGGAGAAGCAGGAGACCCACTTAGCACCTCTCAACACCAAGGGAAAAGCTAGCAGGGTTGGTAGGGTTTCCTCAGCTGCCCCCGACCCTGCCACACTCCTCACAAAGAGGAATTCCTCCCCAACTGCCAGGGACTCAGTGCCTGGCTTTTGCCTAGAATGGTCTGGGCACGCTAGGTATGGAGAGCGTGGTGGTGATTTTCAGCTGGTCTGAAGGACTGCCCCTCCTGCCCACATGAGCGCACGTGCAAGGGGCTGTTGGGATGCACGTGGATTCAAGCTGTGCAGTCTGCTCTGGCTGTTCCCATTTGGCTGCAGGTTTGAAGAGGTGCAGGAACCCTCAGCAAGCTTCCTTTGCACACCTGAGCGCACTCATGTCTTATAATAAGCCACTGGGGGAGCATCTCAGCCCATGAGAGTGGCCCTAGGATGGACAGAAGGGAAAAGCACATTCACGATAGTTTCAGACAGAAACAGAGCTTGCTGCTAGATATCCTAAATAAGAGGAAAAAACATACATATGATCACAAATGATTAAAAATCGGAGCAACCTCATCCTGTATCTTTTAAAGACAGTCTGAAGTCAGAAGGAATCTTGCTTCAGCAGATGGGCAGAAAAACCAACCAAAGAATTTGGATCAGAATTAAACACGCTTTCCCAGCACTGGTGGCACATTCTCACTGCGTCCATGTGGGTCTGAGAAGGAAGCAGCAGACACTGTGAACGCACAAGACAGTGCTTTTCAGGAAGCTCTGCTGAAAAGGGTCTTTCCAAAAACAAGTGGTGCAAAGCTGATTTTGTACAACCAGCTGGCAAAACACAAGAATCTACATCCAAAATAAGAGCCTTGACCACAGGAAATGCTCACACGAAGATCTGAGAGATACTGCAAGCAGCAGTACTGTAAAGCTTAATGAGTATATGGAATATTATTTGTTAGGATGCTGGGGAAGAAAGGCATAAAGGTTAGATCCCTGTCTGATGTACTAAGGACAATTAGGGCATATATTAGTAAAATATATGCTTAAAGTTCTGTTGTAAAAATCACAAGTTCCTCATGTGCCCATTACATTTCAGCTGTCACTGGTGGCTGCAGACACTGTGTACCTGCGCACTCAAGGCGTGGGGAACGTGCTGGCCTGGCTACCTGGGTGTCCATGAAATCCCACCAATCTCCTCGTTCTGCCACACACGGCAACGCTGACTTGCACCTACAGGCTTACCCTGGAGCAGTGATCAAAGCACACAGCACTGCACGTCAGCGCACGCCTTGCTCTGTGCTCTCTGCTTGGTGTTTTGCTTTCGTTCTGGTTCTGCTGGGGGCTGCCCCACATGCTGCCGTTGGCTCCAAAGCTCAGCCCTCATCTGGATATCTTGTTTTAACTCTACCTCCAGGCTTCCTTTCAGCAGAGGCAATAGTTCCAGTTTGAGTACTGAGTTTATAATGCACAAAAAGAGACAAACGTCAGTTAAATTCATTTTTACCTATGACTTTAGCAGAGATCTGTGCCTGACTCCCTACTATTGAAAGCAAGTCTTTTAGCACAGTGCATGGCCAAACCTCATTTCCATCAACCCTCCTCTTCCCAGACATTCAGCATCAGTTTCAAGACTAACAAGTAGAATGCAGTAGTACAGCACTTCCAAGAAAGAAGAGTTGAATGAGCTACTGCAGGGACAGTCTAAGCTTTCTGATGTGGACTCCACACTGAAGTAAGCTGTATTCAGAGAAAGCCATTGAAAAAAAAAAAAGCCCCACAGATAATGCTTCAAAGAAGCAAAATCAATATCACCAATGTGCCTAGAGAAATGGAGATCTCTCTCAGGGGTGAATGCAGCTACAGCACCTGAGATATAACCCAAGTTGTTCACAGACTATTAGCACTCCATCTAGCTCCTCTTTCTGAAGTCTTCTTCATCTCTGCTCTCTACAGCTGACAGTGCAATAAGCATTTGGGCTGCATAGTAGGTAGCCATGATGATGAAGCGCGAGTAGGGCACGGGAAAGCAGAACTTGTTAAGTGCAATGGTCAGATCCGACACCATGAACAGCATCGCGCCGATGCAGGCCGAGAGCTTGGTCCACGTCCAGAGGTCGTTGCACAGCTGCATGCCGGCGACCGCTCGCCAGCCCATGAAGCCAATCAAGGCGATGTAGACGGCTACCAGGTAGGTGAATGGGCCTGAGAGGTAGGAGTACAGGAAGGCATAACAGGAACTGGAAACAAGGCCCATCAACAAGCCGGCTTTGAGGTCCAAAGGCTTCATGCCGAAGGCTGAAGAGTACAGGATGTGTGTGATGGCGAACATCAGCAGACCTGGAAAGAGGCATTGACACAGCAAGTGTGACCTTTCATCAGTGACTGGCAGTTGGTAGCGGAAGAAAACATGTAGTTATACTGGGTTTTAAATATATGGCAATAAGCACCGATGTCCTTGCAGTGTTACACCCCTTAACACTTTCAGTGGGAACCATACTGACCACTTGGGATAAAAATCTGTGCATAGGAGATCAGCCTTAGCACCCAGCTCCCGCCCTAAGAAAAAGCCCCAGCACATCTACAGCTGCAGCCAAGTACAACTCCGTGGTGCTACAAGCCTCTTTGCTTGTGAACTGAGCTGCTGCAGAAGGAACAAAGCTTGTTTTTCAGGTGTTTCTTCCTCCCCTGCTTTGGTCGGAAGGGTGGGGGCAAGGCAGACCAAAGATCATCCTCTCTAACTATCCAAGGTGTTTTACTCATAGGTCACGTGTGGAACAGGAAGGCTGGAATCAGAGCAGTGTAGGAACAAAATGTGAAAAAAGATGCCAATCCCTCCAAACCCAGACACAAAGCCTGACCGTATTTAGCCACAAACCCGAAGATACTCAGCGACTAAATCTGGCTTCTACTCCATCTCTGCCCATAGCTAGGAGGAGAAACTGAAGCTGGAAAGAAGCAGCTGGCATATTTCAGGCACTGCACCAATATGATCTGCCAACAATTTTATGGCTATCTGCAAGATTCAGATGAACCTTATCTGGAATCAATCAGTAAAAATAAAATGCCAGCTTCCCTTTGAAGTGTAATACCCCTAAGAAATGCCAGATGTGGGTGTTGGAAGGTCCAGCCCATGTGTTACTCACTTGCAACTAATCCATTTGCCAAAAAATGTCACAATGTATTGGTACAGCTGCTGAGTACTAGCTGTCATGCCAGTCATAGATAATGGGCCCCAAACTGAGTCCAGCTCCTCTGGTCCTCCAGCTCCAGCCCCACACATGGTGCAGCTGCAGGCTGTCCCACTTTACCCTGGCAGGGTTGTTAGAGTAGCTGAAAGTTTTCATGCAGCTCTGAAGCATGAAATGGAGAAAAGGATCTGGGAAGCTGAGTCCTCCAGCAGGGCACTTGTTTACGTTTAAAGCATGACGCTGTGGTGTAAAGGGCAGTCACTAAAACCTGCTGCTGGCAGACATTTCTTCATCCTAATAGCCTTGGTGTTGCGGTAGCTCAAAGAAGGGGAAGTGTCTCCCTGCCTTTGACATCCACTGAATCCTCAGCCACGGTGGGATGAGAAGGGAACCTGCAGGAGGGATGGGACTGGTGGGGACCTGGTCAGAAAGGTGAGGCCAGACAAAATGGACAGTGTGAAGGGGAAGGAAGGTAAGTGCAAAGGAGGGCAACAAGAATTCGATGTTTGACAGAGCTATTACACATCATGGGCACAGCCCTGAGGAAACCAAGGAGGGATTTAGGACAAGAGCTGTTTATAGTGTAATAGCGCAGGAAGGGTTTGAGCCCTGGGGCCAGTAAGAAGGAGGGTACTTTGCCCTAGCAGTGAGAAGTGGTTTTTACTTCAGTGGCATTATATAGAGAGTTCTGGGATGGGGAGCTGAAGAATGTGTTGTCCTTCATGCAGGCAGCTGGCAAGGAGGAGGAGGAGGAGGAGGAGGAGAGGACAGGATGCAGCAACCAAGCAGAAGCCCACAAACACAGGTGGAGTTTTGTGATACGTGGTGAGGCTGGTCATAAACAAGGGAGTCAGCTCCCACGCTTGCTCATTCAACACCCACAAATCAAGTCAGGAACTGGGGAAACCTGTGATGGCTGCACAGAGATAGGGGTGCATTTCTCTTGCATTTCTCAGCCTTTGGCTTCGTCCTCCCAACCACATCAGGCAAATCAGTCCTTCTCTTCCCTATCCACTTCCTTCCTCCAGGTTTCCTTCCCGCTCCCTGCCCCTGGAGTTTCCCCTCAGGCTGGCAATAAGACCTTTTTGTCAGTCCCTATCTTTTTCAACAAATGCATAAATTGTTTCTAGCTGCCTGCTATCAAAGGAGGTGGATGTTAACATTGTAAAGTATCTTCTACAGGCAATAAGACACTAGTCAGAAAATAGCATGTTCTTAGTGGACTGAAACGGCAAAAATGAACAAAAGTCAAGTGTGCCAGGAGTAGGTTCCCAGGCCCTCACTCCCCTATAAAGTAATGAACAAATGTCCTTTTCTAAACTCATTGTCTCGGAAGCTATTCAAATCCGCCCAGTTTCCAATCTTTTTTTCAGCCCAAAGCTGTAGAAGTTGAACAGAAAGTACATTTTTATCTAGTATTTCTTCTTATTCTCCTGAAATTTCAAATTCCCACAAATGACAATGTCAAAAGATTGAATACTGTCAGCTGTCAACAACAGCAGCCTGCTGAGTTTTAAATAGAAAATACATTTTGTAGGAGAGGTGAAGGATGAAGTGGGGTGGTGCGCTTTATCTGCTAACAGCTGAAACGCAAATGTTAACACTTCACTACAGAAGATGGTAGCTCGGATTAGCACGGACTGAGGCAGGCAACAGACAGCCTGGATGAAGGTCAAGATTTTTCAAAATGCTCCAAGAGAGCTTTTCCTCTCCTCGAGAAGAAAAATGTGTCTAAACCCACAAAGCAACAGTTCTCAGTTGTGAGACTAGGGTTGAAAATCCATCTTATCTGCAGATTAAAACACATTAACTAGATACTGAATTGCTGTGACTGGTTGACCTTCCTCTAGTGCTAAAATGGAGAGGGAACTCAAGAGATATCCCAGCTACGTGGGAATGGAGAAGCTTGGAACAGTCCACGTACAAAACAGTCATGGTGAGAATCAGGCCTTGAACATTTTCCAAGCCACAGCTCAAGGAGCAACTCCAAGAGGCAAAACAGAAGCACAAGCAGCCGGGCTGAGGCAACCTGTGCTGAGCTGGGTACCGCTGGTAGGAGGAGGCCCGTCAGTGGGAAGGCCAACACTCAGCACAGAGGGGATGGCACCCCAAGAGAAGCCTGGAGCTCCCCAGCAACGTGCCCAAGGTTCAGACAGACAGATCCAATCATCAGGGCCTAATTTAAACCCCACTGAAATCAGTAAAAATTTGTACATGAACTTTTAATGAGATTGGGATAAGCCCGTGGGAAGGAGGATTAAAACCAGATTCAGAGCATTTGGCCTTTCATATCTGGCATTGCACACACTTCCCTCTCATAAAGAAAGAGCTTGTGGGAATCCCAGAATAAAACTAAGTACTGACCTCATGGGAGGGGGGAAAAAATAAGCCTTTGATTTCAGATCTGACACAGCACAAGTCAGAGAAGTTCCCTCATCTCATCACATTTTCCAGTGGGACAGTCACAGCAGACAGTTAATGGGTGGGTGTACGCAAGATCCCTGTGCTGGTTAAATTAACTACAGAAACCCCACCAGTCAGTTTAGTGAAGGACTGCACTGCTACTGATTTCTTGTGACAGTCCAAGGCCAGGGAGAGTGCTGCTGCAGGCAGGTTCAACATGGCTTTAAATTATTAATCTAAATCATTCTCTTCTAGTCTGCAAACCAGCAAAATAAAACAATCTTGGTTTGCTCTGAGAGATGTGGACAATTCTGTAGGGAAGACAGACATTTGTGTGGTAAGGTTTGTCCTTGATTCCCCATCATTTACATGTCTTGCAAAACAGACATGACTTGTACAACAGCCTGCATGATTCACACTGATGAACCTGCAAGCCGGGCATGATTTCTGATGCTTTAGTTTCTAGAATTCACTTAAACACCTCCCCCAGGCTACAGGCTTGTCTGTCAAAACATAAGGGTCCTCTCTACCTGTTCTCCACCTTTGCATCATGTGTCCTATTTCTGATACTTGTAGTGAAGGGCTGACAGATATCCCTGCAGAGAGATAGGAGGGAGGTACTTCCCGTAGCTTCATGGGAGCTGCTGAGTGTCATGAGCATTTCCTTCTCTTCCCCAGGGATTCTGCCCATGCCACCTTCATAGCTCCAGCCAGCTGAGATGCTATGAGCACATGCTGGGGAACCAAACCTGCCCCAATTACCTCTCTAACTTCAAAGAGAAGCTCAAAAGAAAGACTCATCCATGGTGTGACTCCTCTAGCCACAAAGGATTTTAGTCAAGGGATGAGTGCTTCCCACTGCCTAGGGCTTAAGCTGTTTCATGAATAAACAAAACACGTGGCCCAGCAACTCATTACTCAATAAAGAGGGTAACAGCTGGACAGCATGGCATCCCTTTAGGACTGACACCGCACTCACCATGAATGAAGTAGCCCTGCTCCTGCCAGATGAGAAAGGCATCTCCCACTGCCGAGAATATGAGTCCCGCTAGGATGCGGCTGGCGCTCCGGTGTGACACTAAGAAGTTAATTCCATGAGCCAGAAGGAAAACCCACAGGCAGAAGATGGGCAGACATTTGATGAGGGCGCTGAACCAGGAGGGGCTGGAAGTTGGCAGCCAGAGGACAAAATAGACACAAGTGGCTTTAAAGAAGGGCACCAGTTTGGGACCTTCACTCTTCACCTAAAGGAAACAAACATTAAAAAAAGAGAAATTAATAGGATCATCAGAAGCATCAGTGGAATAAACTGCATTACAGAACTGTCTCCTTCCTTCTGAAAGCTGCTCTTTAATGTACACTGTCAGCTAGCGGCAGTTGTACTCTGAGAAAGACAGGTTGAACTTGACCGTGATCCTCAGCCTAGACCTCTGTGACCCTCTCTGCTGAAAACACTTCTTGGCTGGTAGGATGGGTTTTGGGTGGTGAAGATGAAGGAAGTTTTAGATACCTTTTCTCTTTATTTGTTCTACTGAAAACATTTAGGCCATCAGTCAAACTCCTCTGGTGATCCTTGCCACCCATCTTATGTTTAGACTAACCCTTCATACACCTCCTTTCCTGTAGCTGTGAAAATACTGCACTCCCTAGGAATATCCGAGCAGCAAACAAGCCAATAAAAGTGCAAATCTTCCCTCACATTTTGGAGAATTCTCTTGCTTGGCCATTTGCAGATCACCCTGAGGATACCACCTCTCTTCTAACCCATTCTCTCTCTTGCCCTGTAGCCTCATACCTGGAGCTGAGTGTTGGCATCACCACATGACTTCAAAACCCATCCCATCAAACTCCCAGGTGAGGATGTCACTTCCTCAGGTGACTAATATCAGCATCAATCACGCTTTGCTTTGTTCTGGCATTACACTAATAATATACTGTCCATATTACAGGAAATGTTTTGACTCAGGGCTCTACTGTGTAAATCTAGACACAAAAATGCAGCTTGAGCACTAGGCTACTCATAACAAAGCCACAGCAGAGGCAGGGCGCAGAGCTACAGACTCCACAAGCAGGGTCTGCTCTTACCATACACTTGGCTGAGATCACTCTGGACAGTAACAAGGTACATCTTGAGTTCACCTGCCCTCCTGTGATACTTCTGCATTTGAATGCAGGTGGCAAAAACCCTGCATGAGAAACAATGCTATGATTTTATTTTCTCCTGAAGTACAGCTGAGGGCCAAATCAAGGAGCAAAGGAAGAGACTGTGATTGCCTCATATGCCTGCCTGGGCTATGTTCTGGGGTCTTTTTGGAGGCCTGTTTCCTCCTGCAGCTAAGGCAGTGCAACCTCCAGAGCTCTCCTGCAAGCAGGGGTTGACTCTCAATCTTCTCGTTTCTTTGGTCGAGCAAAATTTAGTTGCTTAGTATCACGATGACTTCTCACTACTCATGGCCAAAGCACACAGGGGCCTCATGCACTGGAGGAGTACATGAGGGAAAATTGAGAGGCATCAGATCTGGGTTCACACTGCAAAGTCCATCAAAATCTGAACATTCATGTGTGACACTCTGGGGTTGCTTACGTCATGCAAGAAGCCCGTGCTCTAAAAACCTGCAAAAGAAACATTGGTCTTTTTTTCCAAATCACTTGTCCCTGTTTCTGCTTCCTGCATCACAGGACATTGCCATGACACAAAACCAGTATCCATCTTCCTTTGATGCAATGTGTCTTGGTGCAGATACCAAGAATGGCTGAAGATTGCACAGCAAGTATCTCTGTGCTTACGGTGCTCAGTTAATAAAGGCTAAATTCATCAAAATTCAGGAGCTTTTACAGACACAAGGAGGGGTAGTCAGGTGAACCTGGAAGACAGAGGCAGAGGCAGTGGAGGGCATCTTCACAGGCAGTATCTAAAAAGGGAATGCAATCTCTGAAGCAGCAAGACCATAAATAAAGGGCATCCCAAGAAGACAGTGCTTTCAAAATTGTTCTCACATCTGATGGAAATTTCCCCAGCATATCAGCAGTTTCTTAGCAGTAAGGTATTTCATTATTCCTGTATACATTATTCATAGGCTACTGCCAACACAATTTTTAAACACTCCATTAAACAACCAGGCTACACAATTCACTCACAAAAGGACATCAGCAAGCCGTTAACTTTCTTGTATTACATGGGGAGCCCGTCATGAGTCCTCTACTTAGGCTGTCTAAATTAATCACCATTTACCAATTCTTGTCTACATTCCTTGGGAGAATTCTGGCAGCAAATAACAAATGAACTTGAAATAAAAGTCATAAAAGCCCACATAGTCTCACAGCACTGGCAGTGCCTGGGTACTATAAAGTATTGTAGGAAGAAAAGTGGAGCTAAGCTTCCACCTCCTTCAGACCCAGCACCTTGTCCTTCTGAAGTGACACATCAGGCTCAGACTATCCAAAGCCAGTGCCCATCTCCAGCTCTGCTTCCCCCACTTCTGACTCTTTTACTAAAAACGTAGTTGATCACATACATCCTCCCACAGTTGCAGGCAACAGATGACAGCACTTCTGGCACAGTTTCCTCCTCTCCCCCCACCAGTTCTGGAGCATCCCCACCATGCCACAAGGAACCCAAGATCTTCAGCACAGAAAAGTAACACTCCAGAGCTACAAAGTGTGAAAGAATTTGCAGCATCAACAGTGCTCCAGGTCCCTGTAATAGCATCAGCTAATGTAGGTAGTTTTGTATCTCTGAAGGCAAAAGTTCATGCTGAAAGATATAGTTCAAGTTCAGCCTTGTTTGCAACACATCACAGAGGCACCGTTAGAAGCATACAGAAGAGTATTTGGGTTAATAAACACAAGAAGTTTTATTTAATACCTCCTATTAAAAGAAAAACACCTGCTAGGCGCAGTTACCATTACAATCACAGCTTGCCCTCCCCTGTGTGCATGCATGATGAGACAGGTTTTAATTACACTTGTCGTTTTCCCCAGGAACCTTGCCTTACTGAATATATTTGTGCAGAAAGATTATGTTTGCTTGGTAAATTTAAAGTTACAATATCTTCCTCTTTGAATGTGAATTTTCCACACCCAGACAGCATTATTTTAAAATAATGGTTTGTATTATTTACGTCCTAATAACAATAATTAAGGAATTTTTCAGGCATAAGGAGTCAGATTCCAGTCTCAGTTACTCACCCGTAACACTGGAGTTTATGGTGTTATGGAGTCCTCATATAAGAATAACCTCATATATCTAGAAGGGCTATAGGCTTCTCATCATTAACGCTTCATTCCTTTACACTTTTTCTACAAGTGTATCTCAAATGAGTTATTTCCAGACGTGCCCTTGCCCATTACTGAATGCTGCAGCTCACTGGAAATACTTGGGAGAAGTCTCCCTAGAAAAACTGAGGTAACCAGAGTGTGAGGCTGGGGGACTGCCCTCTGTTTGCACCTGCGGCTGAGGCTTGGGAAGAGGGGATGGGACAACTTGCCACGTGGAGGACAAGTCAAGGCTGGTATTGGGAAACTATCTTGAGTGGAGACTGTGGCTTGAGGAAAGCCAAGCACGATCCATGACTGGACTTGCCTGTACCTCAGGGAAGGGAACATTATTTCTTGGCTGTATGGATGAATTGCATCAAACCACCCATCTCCTTTGCACCTCTGTCTCAGAGATGGAATGTGAGATGGGGCTGTGACGTGGTGTTGGAAAAGGAAGCACTTGATGCAGCTGAACAAGATCCTTTTTGCTCCTGTATGTGATTGTCATGGATTTAAGCTGGGTTTTGCCATTTTGTTACAAATTCTATAGCATTTTTTCTCCCTACTTCTTTTCTTCTTCCACTGCTAACTGACTCTGTGCTGAAATGCAGTACAGAAAACATCTTGAATACAATTACAAGACAGTATTTCCAAGTTTTGAATTTCTAAACTGAGCATAATTTAGGGCATTTTCTCAACTGCTATGACTGCTAAGTTACTTAGAGCCTTTAAAAAATAGTTTAAATTGCTGTAAAGCCACTACCACTGTATTTGTGGAATTACAGTGAAAATATAATTTATTAAATTACCTGTATCCAACCAAATCCAATTAAACCCTCCAAGACTTAGGCAGACTAGGAAGAAGTTGCATCCTGGCTCTCACCAAGAGATTTTGGACCAGATGATCTCCAGAGGTCCCTTCTAACCTCAACCATTCTGTGATTCTCTGATCTTCAAACAGAACATGGTATTGGCTCATACAGCTCTCTGGAGGCTGAGGGCTTGGATATCCTCCACCTCCCTGCTAGGGACTCCTAGCTTTACAGTATCTCTTCTTGTTTTGCCTGTTATCATTCTGCTCCAGTTTGAAATATTGCTCATTTCCTTGTTGCTGTTGTTCACAGTGACAGATGACACTATCACACAAGTATTCCAACCATGTTGTGATTTGGTACTGCTGTAAGACACGTTGAGAGGTTAAGATAGCCGATGAAGAAACAAGAAGTGGTAGACCTGAAGAAGTAACTCTGGGTAATAAGGACTAACAAAAACTTCCCAATGTGCAAAATACAAGATATAGCACACCAAGATGACCAAAAGCTTCATACAACAGCTCCTAAGATATATCCACAAATTAGTTAACGGTGACTTGACAGCAGGCCAGGGGTCCCTGCTGCATGATCTCTTCTCACGCCTCCCTGCTAGGCAGTGCTAAGAGATGCTCACGATTCACCTCTGCATAAACCAATATTCACTATGGGGTATGACCTGGGGAGTATCCATGCTGCTCCTCAGCAGCACAGACATCCTGTCCTGACTGCTGCAGGTGCATAACCGAGTCAAAAAATTTACAGCTAGTTCCTCTACCCCAGAATAAGCTGCATCCACAGAGGAATGGCTACATTTGTAAGACAGTGCCCTGATTTTCTTTGGCATTTTGGAGCCACTTGTCTGTATCTACATCACATCACAAGTGGAATGAAGAAAATCCAGCTGCCACAGGGAGGGAGACATCTTGCTCCTGAGGTACAGAACATCAGAAGCTTTTTGCTTTGAAATGCTAAAGTTGGATGAAGTTCACTGTTCCTAAGCCTCGTACTGGTCTCAGGAAGCAATGTGGAGTATCAAATAATGCTCCTCTCTCTGCAAGTCCCCTAAATCAGCCTGCACAGAAATGAGTATACAGCCTCTTCCAGACACCAGCTGTGTGCCAACCTGCTGTGGGGATATGGCTCGTGCCCACTGAGCTGTAGAATGCTGCTTTCCA